ATTGGTACAGGGTGGCTACAAACAACCGCGCCTCACGAATGCGTATGTCGCGCGACGACATTGAGACGGAGGCGAAAAGACTTCCCGACCAGTACCCCCCGGCTCGTATTGCATGGATGTACATCCTCGCGTGTCGATGGATAAAACCAATGACTGACGACGCTCGTGAGCATCGTAAAATTCAACGCCAGGAACGAGCACTTATGTACTCGAACCCTCCCCCAACATCGTACTCAAACCCGCCTATGATGTACGCGAGCCCACACCCTGTGGCGTATTCAAACGCCCCACCTCCGCCGCAATACCCCCCTCCGACGTATGCACACTCGTCGGTGTACGAATCCGCCCACGCACCACCAGTGCGAGGGCGTGCTCCCTCTTCTCATGGACGTGGCCATCCCGCGCACCATGTCCATTATTCGCACCGTCGTCAAGACGAGGATTCGTCCATGAACGACGCTGATGTCGAGACTCGTCACTACGACGACAACTATCTGAGTGACGATGTCGCTGTCGACGCGGCTAGGTCCACGACGACTCGTAGGACTACGTCGAATCGCCCATCCGGCTCTGGCCCGTCCGGGTCAGCGCCGCGTAAACGAATGAGGAACTGACCCCCCCTCATCCATACCTTCGTCAACAACAATGCCGTCGTTGATTACCCACTTTCGTCAACGACAAGGCCGTCGTTGATCAATAATCTCTTACCTTCGTCAACGACAATGCTGTCGTTGATTGTCTATTCCGTACCCTTCGTCCTTCGTCAACGCAATCGTCGTTGATTATTCATTTTCTCGTCGGCGACAACTCTGCCGTCGACGACCTACACTGTCAACATCGTCATGGTGGACGATGGTATTTAATAAACTCACAACGACGAGAAAGTCGTTCCATCATCGACAACACTGTCGTCGAGATCTGGGTGCATATGTTCCAGGAGAAACTCTAAGTGGGCTTTGCCTACAAAATACTATTATAGCCTCCTGCAATGAGTGTGCCCCCGTTTGCATACATTCTTCGTATGTAGAACGTTTTTTTATTTCTTTAAAAATGCTTGCTTTCCCCTTGTGTATATATGGCTAGTACCCTGTCTGCGATCTAGTATCGCAAGGGAGGAGGATGTGAGGCCCCGGCCCATGTCTATATTCCGCCCACAACATCAGTTGATGTTGTGTTGTGTAATAATTATGTCGCGACGCTAATTTAGCGTCGTGGAAGCTTCTCTATTTATTTGTGCCAAGAATGTATAAGATTGTATATAAACCCTCGGGGTAGCTGTAAAAGGGAGATTAGCCTTTACTTCTACCCCGTCAATATACAGCCAAATCAAGCGTATACTTAGATGGATTACTGAGGCCTGAGGCGAACGGGGGAACGGAACATTACCATCCCCAAACTAGTAAGACAACCTTTCATTCTCCTACCCTATCTCCGTCCGCTCCGATACTCACCTCAGACTGAACACCTCTCCTCTCGCCACCCTCCTCCTGCTCCTCCTCTCACTCCTCCTACTCCTCCTCACGACACCTCCACCCTTCCGTCACCCTCCTACCCTTCTCCCGTCCACTCTGATACTCATCTTCAGACCTGACACCTCCCCTCTCCTCCACTCCTCTCCCCTTTCTTCTCTCCTCTCTCTTCCCTCTGACCCTCTTCTGCCGACCCTCTGCCAAGTTACAACCTTCCGCCACTGTCCTGTACCCTGTACTCAGACACCGCTCGTACCTTCGCTCCAAGAATCCATCATAGTTCCTACCTCAGACTTTGACTCCACCTTGGCTTTAGTCCATTGCATTGGTGACCTCATACTACATAAATGTCAGAGACCAGATCGAGATGAAGGAATGTCTCCGTGGCAGAGGGCTTCGGCCTCAGCAACTTATGCCAGGAGCGCTGTGCCAAGTTACACGTCCATGCCCTAATTTAACTTACTGGCAACGAGAACTAAAGGGGGTCAACTCTAGTCGATTTTATTACTGGGGTGTAACCTATGTACAAGTTTAGTATATATAGTTACAACGAGGGCAGGCCCATAAATGGCAGGGCCGAGCAGAGTGGGGCTAACAGAGTTAAACATTAGCCGATTGAATATTACCGACAAGTCAGGTTACGGGGTTAGCGGAAAGGTAGGCGATAACCCAGAAACAGAAAGGAGGGATAGGCCCGAAGGTGGGCTTGCAGGGCAAGTGAGTGAATTGCCCAGCGGAGGCAGGAGTGTGCTAGCGGACGATGGAGCTGTCCAGAAACCTTCGGGGCTCCATACTTAGGGAGGTGTAGGTAATATATTGAAAAGAGGGGGTGGTGACCATTGAGGGAAGCGGAGGTGATTGCAGAATACAGGAGCTCCGAGGTTAGTGAAGAAGGAGCAGAGGTAGTTCGGAGAGTTCAGAGGTAGTGGAAGTCAATGGCCATGGATGGATATGACAGTAAACATCATTGCCAATATTCCTCAGACTTTCAACCCTGCCTCCATAAGCTCCGTAAGCTCCGCAACCTCCAAGCTCCACAGATCATCTTCGGCACTTTCGCCACTTGTAATGTATCTTTCGTGTTTCCCCCTCATCCCTATTTGGACTGCTGCTTCTTCCCATTCTAGCCAGTTAGTCATCATCCCCACTTCACCTCACCCTCCTGCCCCTCTGGGCTTCGCCCTCCTTACCTCCTTTCGGATGTACCACAGGTTCTGCCCTATGACCTTCGGTACCACTCCGCTTCTGTCATCCCTTTGTTCCCATTTGGACGCCTTCATTCCGATTCGGACTCCCTTTGTTTCCCTTGTGCTTTCGCCCGCTCCATTATATATCAGTGCTTGTACATACTTGTTTTAGTCTCTGTCACGGCCCCGCAAAGTCCCCGCCCCTCTACCACTTTCTGCACCCCCATTCTTACGCCGTTACTCGCGCCCGTTAATCTCGCCATTGCCCATCACTTAGCGGCGCCGATAGTGGTTCCCGTTCTACGGCCCCGTAGCAGCGCCTCCTTCGTTTTCCCGCCACCACTTGGGTTCCTCAATCATTCGGCCGGTATCGTTTTATTCTATTCACTCACTTAACTAACTAGCGGTTGTTATGGTCGCCGTTGATCCGCTCCTTATGGACATTCCTTATTGACAATTGATTATTCCTTTATCGATATTTGATTTATACGTATATTGACATTCTGATCCGCGCGCCTAGATTGTCGGCTTATCCTTTCTGCCTCCCAACTTCGCCGTTCTCTGTTCCATTCATCTCTTCTGTTCCATTACCCTGGTCCTCATCGCTCTTTAGTTCTATCGTACTTATCATCTCGTTCCCGTCCCGCGCCGGACCGACCGGCCCCTTCTCTGTTCTCCTTTCCTATTTATACTTGTAGTTTACTGTCGATGTACCTCAGTTCGAATATCGACTAGAATTCCCCCAAGTACTTTCATCTTAAGTTCGCCCCTCAGCTTCATCCCGCTTAAGTCAACGTCGCCGCAAGGTCCTTCCCGCTAACGTGAAATACGGGACAGCCTAGAACGCGTGGCGCAACGCTCTGGCAAAGTCGTTGAAGCCGAAGTCCCAACCCCCTCGACGCCTTGCAACGGAGTAGCTCATTAGCTAAGTGACCACTTACGCCGCCGTACTCCGCCCCGCTTCCCGCGATCCCCTCGAACACAGTTTCTGACAGTCTCTTAGTCTAAAATCGACCTGAAATGCCCCCTAGAGACTTCCTGCTCACCACCTATGAAATTAAGGACCAAATGGACAAACAGCAATGGCACAGTGCTCCACTTGAGTCGCTGAGGCCAAGGTCCCTCCTTGCTAAGTCTCCGGTTCCCCTCTGGAATCGTCCGCCCTTGCCCAGTTCTAACATATCACAAGAATGGGAAAAACCAAACAAAGACTGCAAAGCATTTTGAGTCCATCTACCCTAATCTCAAGATAAAACAGCCTCTCATCTCTGTTTGGGTGAAGAGTGAGACAAAACTTTGCAAGGAATTTTGGAAATTGGAAATTGCTGGGAAGTTCAAACACATCCAACAGACAACATTCCCAATGGTCACTGACATGTTGGAGCTATGGACTATTGCTGCTGAAGAGAAAGGGGTGGTACTCACTGGAGACATACTCTGGGCCAAATTTAAGCAATTTTCTGATCGTGCTGGCATTCCACCACATGACCAGCTTAAGATGAGCAATGGGTGGCTTGAATCCATTAAAAATCGACTCGGCCTCTACCTACATGTACACCACGGTGAGGCAGGTTCAGCCAGCCCAGAAGATGTCGCTGCAGAACAGGCACATCTACAGGGGCTCTTGTCCGAGTATTCCCTCAGCAACATTTTTAATGGTGATGAAACAGGACTTTACTATTCGTGAGTGCAAATCCCCCCCTCCCCAACAGTCACCCAATAGTTCTCCTTAGTATGCCACCAGACAAGGGCCTAAGCAAGGGCCCAACCCCAGGATTGAAGGGAAATAAAGTGTGCTTGATGTACTTTTTTGTCGCCAATGCCACAGGTTCTGAGAGATGGGAGCCTCTCATTATCGGAAAGGCATTCAAGCCTTGGTGCTTCAAGAAAAAGACTGGTCATGAGCTTGGCTTCGATTATAAGAACAATGCCAAGGCCTGGATGACCTCAGCAATTTACTCAGCATACCTTAGACAGTGGGATGCTGAACTTCGCACTCAAGGACAGCACATTCTCTATCTGCACGATAACTTTTCTGGCCACACTGTGCAAGACAACTTGACCAACATCCGATGCGAATTTTTTTGCACCAAATCTGATGGCCCATGTGCAGCCCATGGATGCCGGAGTAATTCGCTGTTTCAAAGCACACTATCAGAGTCAATTCATTAGTCATGCAATTGATTGCTACGATTCTGGAGTCTCACCAGGAAAAATTTATAACATTGACCAGCTTGAGGCAATGCATTTGGCACAGACAGCTTGGATGGAAGTCATGCCAGACACCATCTGCCACTGCTGGGCCAAGGTCGGAATCCTGCCCTTGTGCACGCAAGTGCAGAAAATGGCAATACCTTTGTCAATGCTTGTCAATTCAGAGGACCCATCACCATCAGGCAGAGTGGAAGGAAAGTCACAGTGGGACAAGGACATGCCAATGCTGGAATCAACAGACCCAATCGCTATCGCCAATGCTCACATAGAGGAAGGCCTGAACAGTCTCCAGTCAGTTGGAATCCTCAGCAAGAGAAACAGAATGAGCATAGCCAAGCTGGTAGACAATCCATCAGAGATCATTCATGCTGCAGATGTCTCTGATGACGATATTTTCAATGCCATGTCCAAGGCATGGGAGAACAGGGAAAAGGACAACATCGCAGAAGGAGCCCATGATGCCAACAACTCTGATGATGACATGCCTGCTGTCTCACGTAAGGATGCCATTCAGGCAGCACTCCTGCTGAAGACTTACACCAAACAAGTGAATTCTTCCTTTGCATGGAAGATGGAGTCCATGTTGGCTCAGTTTGGACACAAGACCCACTATGAAGCCCAATCATTGGCAGCAGCACACTCAATTCTTACTTCAAAAAGATTGAATAGAGTGATAGAGAGGTGACATTGATAGACATGGTGGTAGAGGCGATTGACAATAAAGACTTATGTAAACATAGCATGTGCCTGTGAGAAATTTGAGGTAGCCCATACCTGTCATTACCCATACCTAAATCTGGGAACACAAGGTATGGGTTATCACGGTTTCAACTGTAACAGCAATTTATCAAGTTATTTAACCTATTCAACATGGGAGAATCCAAAAGAAGCTGCGAATTTAACCACCCATTCAATTTATCCATATCGAGGGATGCTCATGTTAAAATGCAATGTTTAACTGCATTATGAATAGATAAATTTTTGTCAAACAGTTAAATCATTGGGTCTCCATTCAAAATTTCTAGAAAAGTGGTTAAATCAAGAGATCCCCACCATTTAGAGGCCCGAGGCTTCTGCACAAGGTAGCAGCACTACAGGTGCACATCCACACCCGATTACAGCCCCCCTGCTCAACTCCATGACTCCTGGCAATGTTTCAACAGTTTTTGTGCTCCTGGAACTAATTCAATGCTTCTCAGGGTTGTCATGAATTTGGCAATAACCAACTCAGTGAAAAATCGAATTGGTTCAAATTTTTTTCCTCCCAAATTCATTCTTGTTATTGATAATCGACTATGCAAATTATTTATATACAACAAAAGAATAAAATAAAATGGGGGGGATGCATCAGCAAACTTGGTAGGGAGCTCTGTGAGCAAATTGAGTCTTTTTGCTGTGCACCCTCTACACATTGGGTGGAGAAAATTAAATGTTTGAATGATTTTATTCTCCTAAGGATGCAGAAGTGCAAAGATAATATGTATATACATTTTTGGAAATGCATATTCCATGGCCAGCATCATTACTTGAAACACTCTATGAGCTCTATGAGCTCACTGAGCTCATAGAGCTTTTTGTTTTTAAATCATGGATGGTCTTCATATCTCCATGAAATCTGCTTAGTTATTTTGGCACCAGTAGTGCAAAGATAATATGGATATATATGTGTGTAAAATGGCCATTGTCATTGCTCTGAAAGCTCTATGAGCTCTATGAACTCTATGAACTCAGTGGGCTCATAGAGCTCATATACCTTTTGTGTTTACTAAAATCAGCACCTTATTTTTTATTGCTATTTACAAAATTTGAGGAAAACTCTGAAATTCAAAAATTTGCACTTTATCTTTCATCTCATTTCTTGCTCAAAACTCAACCAATTTTGATGATTCTATGTGAATTGGAAAGCACCAAAGTGTGGCAATGTAACCATGCATGTTATGTAGGGTATAAATCAGTTTTAACAAAGTGTTCCAAATGAAATAAATTGAAAATAAAACAAACAAAAAGCTGATGTATTCTTCAGATATCATCCAAGCCTTTGACACCAAATTTCCCATGGTCAAAAAGCCATGGTTATTTGGCTCACTGTCAGGGCCCAGCCCTTGTTCTGTGACGGGCCCAGGGGGATCCTCCTAGTTGCTGGGGTATCTAGTCCCAGTCCGAGATCCTCAAACTCACTGAGGGGGCTAAACCTTCTCAACCTCCTCTACAAATGGGAGCCAGGAACTATACAGTTTTCAGCTCTTTGTTGACTCCCCATAAATGGCACCCCCCGTGGGAACAAGCTGCTCACCCAGAAAGTTCCCACAGTTGTGGCTGTGATGGTTTCTGGGTGAGTAACTTACCCAGAACTTTCCCATGGGTCTGCATGCATGTGGGATTGTGGAATAGTGAGGGGCTGTGCCCTGACACTCACCAAAACATGGTGGGAGACTTTTCTAACACTGAAACATACATTGCTACATTGCCCCACTTTGGCACTTTCCAATGCACATTGAATTATCAAAAAAGTGAATTAATTTTTTTTCCCAATTATTCCTAATTTCCTGAAATATCTCTCCCTAACTTATCCCAAAATTTCTGATTTTCCCCCTGATTTTTTGGACATTCTCCTTTTTTAGAAAGTCCCCCATTTTCTGAATTTTCCTTAATTTTCCCTGACTTTTTTTCAAGTTTTTAGAAACCCCCAGTTCCCCCTCATTTTCCTCCCATTTTCCCCTTCATCCCCCCCCTCAATTTCCCCCCCATCCCCCCCTTCGATTTTCCCCTCATTCCCCCCCCCAATTCCCACCTCAATTTCCCCCCCATTTCTCCCCCATTCCCCCTCCAAATTTCCCCTCATTCCCCCCCCCCCATTCCCCCCCCCCCATTCCCCCCCCCCCCATTCCCCCCCCCCCATTCCCCCCCCCCCATTCCCCCCCCCCATTCCCCCCCCCCATTCCCCCCCCCCCATTCCCCCCCCCCCATTCCCCCCCCCCATTCCCCCCCCCCCATTCCCCCCCCCCCATTCCCCCCCCCCATTCCCCCCCCCCATTCCCCCCCCATTCCTTCCCAATTTCCCCCTCATTCCCCCCCATTCCCCCCTCAATTTTCCCCTCAATTCCCTCCTCAATTTTCCCCCCATTCCCCCCCATCCTTCCCTCCAAATTTCCCCTCATTCCCCCCCCATTTCCCCCCTCCATTTCCTCCCCCATTTTCCCCCTCATTCCCCCCTCATTCCCCCCTCATTCCCCCTCATTCCCCCCTCATTCCCCCCTCATTCCCCCCTCATTCCCCCCTCATTCCCCCCTCCAAATTTCACCCCATTCCCCCCCTCCATTTTCCCCCCACTTCCCCCCTCAATTTCCTCCCTCATTTCCTCCCTCATTCCCCCCAATTCCCTCCTCATTTCCCCCTCCAAATGTCACCCCATTCCCCCCTCCATTTTCCCCTCATTTTCCCCCTCATTTCCCCCCTCATCCCCCCCTCCAAATTTCCCCATTTCCCCCCATTTCCCCCTTTAATTTTTCCCTCATTCCCCCTCCCAATTCCCCCCCCTCAATTTTCCCCTCATTTTCCCCCCCATTTCCCCCCCATTTCCCCCCCACTCATTTTCCCGCATTTTCCCTAAGTAATTTCAGATTAACTGCATTTATATCCCTAAATTTGGTCTATATATTGATTGGGCTACATACCCTTGGTGTCTGTTGCTGCATTGGTGCTGAAAGTGAAGCTGAGTTTGTTCAGTCCCTTGTATGGTAGGGAGTTGGCTATGGCTAGTCACATGATGCCGTAGTCAATGCTTTTAAATTTTAATTTTGATATCGGGTGAATTAAACACTCAGGGAGCTCATATAGATAATAGTCCCCTGTGTGCAAATATAGCTCTATGAGCTCTCAGAGCTTTGACTACTTTTTGGAGCTCTCAGAGAAGGGGACCTGCAATTTCAAAGTACTGAAGCTCTGAGAGCTCTGAGAGCTCTATGAGCTCTCAGGCCTCCGCATCCAGGTTTGCTGATGTGGAGGGGCCAGGGTTGATAGTTTTAGGTGGGAGATGGTGTTGAAGGACAAGGGAAGGGTGAGGGGGGTGGCAACATGGCATGACAGCGATGAAGGGGTGGTGGACTCCTCGGCATTTGTGTCTGCAGAGCAGATTGTGAAATGTAAATGAATGAAGATTAGTTATTGAATGAAAGGAAGAGGTTGAATGGGGGAAGGAGGGAGTCCCCCTCGTTGTTGAACTGGAGATGCACCTGCAAGGGGATCCTTCAGATGATCATGGAGGGTGCCCAATCAGACTCCGAGTCGGGGATGACATGTAGGGAATGCATACAGCATGCATTGGGGCCATAGTGCAGGCATGCAAGCATGCGTCATTGATACAGCATCTACAACAGAAATAGAGATAGGTTCATTCAGTTCCAGCACTTCCAACAGGTAACAGATGTGAAGTGTCAAACGATGAAAAAAGGGCCTCACCTCTAGCATCTCCCTGCCACATGTTTCATGCCTCACACTGCCCATGCAAGACCAAAGCCTGTTGTGTGTGCATCAAAAACCAAGCACCAGGAGCCTGTTTGGGATGCCCAGGTTGTGCTGGAGCATGGTTGAACTGGTTTGGGGGCCGGCCACACAACCCCTTGCAGGGGAGGAGTGGTGGTGTAGTGGTAACACCCACCAATCTACTCTCTCGCTGGTGTTTGCCGATTGAGAGGACGTTGGTTCGACTCACCTGTTGGGAGGTCGCAGTTCTCCAAAGTCTCAAGAGGCATGTGTTTATGCGTTGGGCCAACAAGCCAAGGAGCTGGTCTCATGATCACTTGATCACCAACTTCTCCACTACCGATTACATTGAGTATAGAAAAGGTTCATATCATATGACTAAGTCTTCTATTCACTACCCGAAAGGGGCCTCTCATGGGCACAACCGGCCAGGAGTTAGGAGTTCAATTGGCATGGACCCAGACGTTCTATAGGGGATCACTCGCAGCATAATAGGCTCATGTGATACGGTCTACCACTGTCACAATTCAGAAGAATTTGGATTGTTCAGTCGCAAATTGGGCATTGGTGAATGATGTTGGTGTTATCTGGGAGCTTAGAATCATGTGGAACTTGAGTATAGAAACATGTATGATAATATGCCTTGGGCCTTGCCCCTTCCCCTTGGCGCCCTAACGGGCAGCCTCTATGGGAAGTAAAATATCGAGAATTACACACAACTGTCAGGGATGGCTCGAGGAAGGCAGAGGTAGCGGCGTAACGCTCGGCGCTAGCGGCCCGGACAGTGGCAGGGCGGTGAGACCGTATAGTGGATAGCCCCTACTTGGGCTTACGTCCCTGTGTGGCTTCTTAGGCTGAAGCGGGAAATGTATTGTTATTAGGGTGGGAAGCCAGACTAAACTAGGGTACTTGCCTGAAGCGGGAAATGAGAAGAAGGTTACTTCTTCGGTCCTGCTTCGGCTTAGTTTATATACATGTGTGAATGGGTCACATGGGGTTGCCACATCACCCTCGGACGAAGCCGGGTTACCACGGGTGGTTCCACGGTCGATCCCGAGTGTTGGAGGGGAAGTACAAGTAGAAGTGCGCGGCGCATCCGGCGTTGCGGTGCCCCTACGGGGTGCTCAGCGTCGGACACATCCATGCTACAAGGGTAGGAAAGAAAGGGAGGTCGTCTGTATAAAGATAGAAAAAGAGAAGAAGGAAAGAAGAGAGAATGAGGGGATGAGACAAAAGGAAAAGGAGGTGGCGGCGGCGGCGGCGGCGGCGGCAGCGTGCCCTGACAACAACCCCTTGCCGGGTCTGTCCTGTTTCCTGGTTTTCCAAACAAAGGCCGGGGCACAAAAGCTCCCAGCAATGAATGCAGTAGGCATGTGAGGCAGTGAGGGATTTTTGTTTTTAATCATTTTGCGTTGTGGAACTGAATGGAAGAAAAAAACAAAAGAGACCCGGAATCAGATTGCAAGTTGGGCATGAGAATGACCCGGTTAAGTTGATTTGACCATTCAATCATTAAAATGTAGGAGATATCGTGACTTCAATCGCGGAAGCAGAACATGAGAATAACGATTTAGCATGAGAACGTTTATTTACATTGCATAAAAAAGCTATTACAGTGGTTTGAATTTTGATTGTCACATGATGCAAAATTGTTTCCGCTGAACTTCAGCAGCTGCAAGGGTCACCAAACTTCCTGACCGAATATCTCTTCAACCACATCAGTTATTGACAAATGGATTGTTGCGCTGTAACATACACATCTGTATCTATCTTCTATCTGAAGCGATTGTTAATACCTTTTAAAATGGATTATCCAATTATCCCCACCTTCCTGACCGATTTTCTCAACAACGGCTGGGAGAAATTGTCCCAAATTTGGTCCCCAAAGAGGTTGGGTGAATATCTAAGTGCTAATTTTTTTTTTCGAAGTGCTGTGCTTAAATTTGAAAAATTCGCTATTGAGAGTGCGTGCGGAAGTTTAGCATCAGAATGTGGCCAGATATGGAAGTGCCACATAAGGGAATACTGAATAGCATCTGTGATGTGATTCAAATGTTTTGTATTGTACATGTAATTATGATGACCAATTATGCCGGAGTCCAGTTTGCAGAGGGTCACGCAACAAGTCATTTAGTGTTAACTGTCAGGGCTCGGTCCTCGATCAGGGACAGCCCGACCTCAGTCCTAGGTGTGTGCGGTGTTCCAGGTGGTTGGGCGCTAGACCCTGTCCTCAGCTCCTCAAACTCACTGAAGGGACTAAGCGGGGATTGAGTTGTCATGTATTACAGAGGGTAACTACAACTTGCCTAAGCGGGGATTGAGTTGAGAAGAAGGGTAAGTTTCCCTATTCCCCGCTTGGCTACTATAAAAAGGAAGTGTACTGTACAGTTCATAACGTGACTCCGGGTAGAAGCCGAGCGTGTTCCCGCGACTCGGAAAAGGTGTCACATGGGTTAAGGCGAGTTGCTTGCCTTAACCCACGTGATTTTTCCCGCGGGCTCACATGCGGGCTGAAGCTGTGAGAGGTATGTAGGGATGGGGAGGTCTGGGGAGTGGGGGAAGTCTGGGAAGGTGGTTCTGGGGTGTGGTTGGGTGCCCTGACAGCGGGGTCAGGGGCCGATCCCTGACATTAACCCATGCAGTCGTTGCACCCAACCCAAGCCTGGGAGCTTGAGGAAGCACAGTCAAGGTCATGGAGTCAATACCTGGGCATGTGGTAAAATTAACGGTTTAAATATTAGTTGTAACTATAACAGGCTATGCAGTCTGTTTGGCTGCATGTGTTCGATTCCCGCTTGTTGCAACTTTTTTTGGCATTCTCTGTGCCCAGGTATCGACTCTGCAGCTTTGACTATGCACTTCCTCAATGCTGGGCATGCGGTTATTGCATGGGGGAATGCCAAAAAAAAGTTGCAACAAGCGGGAATTGAACACATGCAGCCAAAAAGACCGCATAGCCTCAGCTCATGCTATAACATCTGCACCACAGCACACCAACAGCAGTTATAGTTATAACTAATATTTAAACCGTTAATTTTACCACATGCCCAGGTATTGACTCCACAACCTTGACTGTACTTCCTCAAGCTCCCAGGCTTGGGTTGGGTGCAATGACTGCATGGGTTAACACTAAATAACTGATGGATGCCGCCTGCTGCGGCAATACCCGCTACTCTTATTGGCGACATTGTATTGAAGTCAGTGTACACCACAATGATGGCCTTGTTCTTCAAAACTATGGCACTTAGATGTGAATGTCCGTGGAAGTGAGAAGGATCCAATACCTGAAGCCCAGGATAGGTCAGCAACAGTCTGGCAGCAGGATGTAGATGAAATTCACCCCGGTGGTGGACTGTCTACCCAAATCCCGAAGCAAACCCTAGTACTGTGCTGCCATGGGAAGATGAGAGACACCAACAATTGCAAAAGTCGTGCGCATTCTCACCAATAAACCATGATGATGAGGCATTCCCCGCAATTGAGGCTCTTCAAACACAGGCCACATTTTTGGGCACCACGCATACCGCTTGCTCGTTCATGAACAGGAGATTCAAATCCGCATCGAAGGTTACCAAACCTGCCTTGAGTTATGAATCAATTTAGAGTCCCGGTAATAACTTTGTGTCATTGAAAAGCCTAACAATTGCGAAAGTCGCCCGCGTTCTCACCAATAAACCATGATGATGAGGCATTCCCCGCGATTGAGGCTCTTCGAACACAGGCCACCTTTTGGGCACCACGCATACTGCTTGCTCATTTAAATAGTCCTCATGAACAGGAGATTCAAATCCGCATCGAAGGTTACCAAACCCGCCTTGAGTTATGAATCAATTTAGAGTCCAGGTAATCACTTTGTGTCATTGACAAGCCTTTTTTACGTGAGCCTACCACCGTTCTGGCTGCTGTCGGTAAGCGTGATGAGCTAAAATCGTATGTCAGCAAGCTGAGGCAAAAAAGGGGTATAACCGGGGTATAACCAATATTTGTGCACAGCCATTGAGTCTACGCTTCCAAGACCCGCTACAGAGTAGCGGGAATGACTTGTTGCGCGACCCTCTGCAAACTGGACTCCGGCATTGGTCATCATAATTACATGTACAATACAAAACATTTGAATCACATCACAGACGCTATTCAGTATTCCCTTATGCGGCACTTCCATATCTGGCCACATTCTGACGCTAAACTTCCGCGCGCACTCTCAATAGCGAATTTTTCAAATTTAAGCACAGCACTTCGAAAAAAAAAAAAATAGCACTTAGATATTCACCCAACCTCTTTGGGGACCAAATTTGGGACGATTTCTCCCAGCCGTTGTTGAGAAAATCGGTCAGGAAGGTGGGGATAATTGGATAATCCATTTTAAAAGGTATTAACAATCGCTTCAGATAGACGATAGATACAGACGTGTATGTTACAGCGCAACAATCCGTTTGTCAATAACTGATGTGGTTGAAGAGATATTCGGTCAGGAAGTTTGGCGACCCTTGCAGCCGCTGAAGTTCAGCGGAAACAATTTTGCATCACGCGACAATCAGAATTCAAACCGCTGTACTATGCGCGTCCACGGAGCTCCTCAGACTGGGTACGAGTCTGAACGTGCACCTGCTCAGAGGCTTGCGATTTCTCAGGGGATAGTTCAGAATAACACAGCTTCTGCATTATTCGGCACGGGAATTGCATACAGGATAATTTTGCTCTAAACGCAGTGATATTGCCCCCGTGCCGGATCGCGACAGATATAAACCCCCGTTGCAGGCCTCTCCCTTTCCCAACAGCCCACTCAATCCCAACGCACCCCAATCGTCGATGTTCCTCCACAGACCCAGAGTCAGCCGTGCTCTCTCTGCCTTCGACCATGCCAGCCATCGCTGGGCAGCCATACCTTTGCGCAACCCGCATGACCCAATCACCCAGAGGCCTTCTTCTTCTCCTCACGCTGTTGGCAAGCAGACGCTTTCCCTTACTTCCTGGAATATCCAGGCCTCCCAGCTAAAGCCCGTCGCACGCTCCGAGCTCATCCTCGACCACATCCTCAAAGGACCCAAGTTTCCCGACATCCTTCTTCTCCAAGAAGTCGCGTCTAGCGTCCGGAAGTCTCTCCTCAGCGACCCCAGAGTACGCTCGAGCTTCCTAATCACTGACGCCGAGGACGACACGTCTTTCAAGGGCGTACCATTCGCAACCATGACGTTGCTCTCCAACAAGCGTTTCGGCTCTCCGTTGCTCGCCAAGGAGGAGGAGAAGGGCGAGGGAGATTCCAAGATCGTGCTCGACAGCGTCTTCCGCACGGAGCTGCCGAGCAGGTACAACAGGGATGCGCTCTGCGTGAATGTCGCCACCCCAGCTGCGCCTGGCCAGGTCCTACGTCTCTTCAACGTCCACCTCGACTCCCTCGACTCGGAGTTCAGGCGTATACTTCAGATGGAGGTACTGGCTGGCGCCCTGCGCGAGCCCGGATGCAGCGGCGGCATCATCGCAGGCGACTTCAATGCAATCTACCCCGACGATCACGTCCTCGTCGACAAACACGAGCTGGTCGATGCCTGGGTCGCGCTGCACGGGAGCACGAAGGGGCCTGATGGAGGAGCTACATGGGGTGTCGGCGTCGAGCTCGAGGGCGGACTCAAGCCAGGCAGATTGGACAAGGTCGTTATGCTGGGCTTGCAGCCCACCGAGATCGAAGTCCTCCAGCCTGGTCTCATCGATGCCCATACACCCTGGAGCGACCACTGCGGGCTGCGCTGCACCTTCACCATCTAATACGGTAAACAAGTTTTTCTTCTCGCTTGTTTGACACCTATATAACCACCTTCTTTTCCCCCATAAGTAGATCATTAGATCGAAAGCGGTTGAACCATCATGTTACTCTCTTTTCCAACGTCGAACAATGTTTACCCTCCTCAATCGACGATCCATCTCTTTAGACTATATAAATTTGTACGATAGTCGATGCCTCTTCGCAACTCTACCTCTTGCACTTGTCGTATCTCTCGAATCGTGCTGTAAGCAGATACTATACGCTTCTAGTCGCATCAAGCGCGGAATGACGAGACGATGCACTTTGGATTTCACAACAACTTTCTACGTTGATGAGCGACGACGCTCCGTGCCAGCTCTACGCTAAAGTACTTGAGCAATAAAATGTCACACTCAGCCCGATCTCAAGCTTAAGAAGTCATACAGATAGTCAACTTGAAAAACGTCGCGAAAGCGTAGAGTGTCAGAGAGCTTGTCCAGCACCGCAAGTCAAAGCTGAGTGGTCACGTCTTGGAGCTTCCCCCCCTCGAGTTCGAAGACCTCAATGTTGAACATTGATAAAGGATTGGACGTCAAACTTGGATTACTCAAGATATCAAGCTTAAACTAAATGCGGAAGGTTTTACGGACAAATCAACAATGATATTTCAAACGTAACAGCCCCAACAGGCGGGCAGCATTGGAGCAGGATGAGTGGGGATTTACGATTTGGCAGAAGTCAAAAGAAAGCCTTGGAGTTGCGATAGATGAGCATCGAACTTACTGCTTTGACTGATAAACCAGGCGTCCAACTCGTGGATTCGTGATTCGTTGTTTCGGTTCGTCTCGCTCCCTTTGTCTCCTCTCTTCACGCATCTGACTCGCTTGTTATGAAGGTTCTATACAACGTCACACAATTCATCGCACCGATATGACATTCCTGACCTACGAGGGACGAGGAGGAGATATTCGACGAACCGAAGTGACGAGTCTGCGACTTCAAGATCTGTAGATTAAGGGCGTTATGAATGACAAGCAAAAGAAGAGGGGCAGGGGAAGGGACGAACCTAGTCGATCGTCTTCCATTCCTAACGGAGTTCCTTTTGCTCGTCCTTGGCAGCTTTGTAGGTGGGATAGAACTTGTTGAACGCTATCTTCACGGTCTGCTTCTCCATGTTGCTCTTGTAGCTGATCACACCGTCCCCGTGATACAACTTCCCGAAGAGCTTCATGGCGTCGTCGAAGTCGTTGACAGCCTTCTTCTCCCTGGATTTGAGACGGTCCGAGCCTGCGATGAGCTTCTTGATGATAGCCTTCGAGTCCGTAGGCAAGGGGATCGCATCATTTGCAACGACCTCGTCGAGGGACATGCCCTCGGGCATATACGTGGTCTGCGGATGTGGCGTATCAATCACGAGCGAGGAGGAGCAACGATGATTTGTACTCACAACCGTATCGTCGATGATGTCAATTGAAACAACATCATCCTCCTGCTTCTCGCGGTATGTGAGGCCACACTTTCCTTCCAGATCGATGGTGAAGCGCGAGTCCAAGCGAGCGATGTTGTCGCGGATCTGGAACCTGTCGATGCCGGGGCCGGACTTGACAATGACGTCAATGTCCTAGTAGGGGAGCTGTAAGTAACCGGCCGGACTCCGTAACGCAGGTGAAAAAACGGACCATGGTGGGACGAATCTGCCTAGCTTGAAGATAAAGGCCACCCACAACCGAGACCTGGGTCTCGGCAGCCCGCTCAGCACCAACATATGTGTGCCAGCTGGCGAAGAGGGGCTTGAGCCCGTAGTGAAGAAGAGGACGAGTGAGAGACATGATGTGAATCTAGAAAGCAAAGCAGTGGCGTCAGACAATGCAAGGAGGAAACGGAAGCAGGAAGGAAAGCGAACGAACTGGTGGTTCGAGAGTGTCTGGTTGGACTATAAGACGAAATGGGAGACTGGCGAGTATATCGCTCAGTCCCATAGTACGTGAACTAAGATGTATAAAGAGTAATTACCTAGCGAGTATATCGCTGGTATACATGAATAAGTACAAGATGACGGACACAGTAAGAGGATAAAAGTCAGACTCACCTCAGACCCGTAGTACGTGAACTGAGGAAAGCGTCGTAAGATCCAAAATTTCCTGCCTTTATAGCCAGGCGCTATGAATGCGCAACTGATTTTGGCAGCGACTGTTCCAAGAAAGGAAACAAACGTAGATCCTAAGCGCCGCTAGACTCAACATCACTAAACGTGAGTTGGCCTCAGCGTACACTACGATCCCAAGAATTCTAATACGCCCACTCGCTGGGCCTACTCATGCAATCCCATCGCAATTCGAAACTCCGAGTGCTTCTCATGCACCAAAGCTTTTGTGAGGACGTCAGCGACCTGATCGTTCGTCGGAATATATTCGAGTGTTATGTCGCCGTTCTCAACGTATTCGCGGATGAAATGATGTCGAACGCCAATGTGTTTGGTGCGGGCGTGAAGGTGGGATTTGATGCAAGCGCGATAGCGCCTTGATTATCGACGAGTAAGGAAGCGGAATGAGCGAGGGGGAAATTGATGTCGCGAAGGAACTGTTGGATCCAAATGTTGAAATCTTGGTTTTCTTGGGAGTTATAGTGCGCTGTGGCCAACTCACAATGTGATGTTGAGCTAGCGGCGCTATATTTCCTTTCTTGGTATTCCTGCTACCAAAGTCAGTGCGCCATTGAGGCGACTGCTTATAAAAGCAGTGAAGAATTTTTCACTTTCGTCTCCCTCAGTTCAACAACAATTGACTGAGGTGAGACTACGCTTTTACCACATGTTGTGTTGTCACTCATGTATCTTCATATGCCCTAGCATAAAACGCTAGGTAATTAGTTCTAATCTATTAGTTCAACAACGATTGACTGAGCGTAAATCGCTAACATCCTAATACCAAAGGGCTTCTTTAGTAGCATGGGTCATTGCCATGTACTCGCCTTCTGTACTCGAGAGCGCAATGGATGTCTGTTTCTTCGAGCTCCAACTGATTGCTGCGCCGGCCATAGTAAAAACGAAACCACATCAGGAAATTGTGGCAGTCAACTTTGGACACTTCTGACGGTCCTGTTGCTTCTAATACAATGAAACTGGCTGAATTGACCAATTTCCCACTAGAAAGGCTGCTTCGCAGCCATGACCTTGCTTTCCAATCACATGAACACTGCTAGGCTCACAAGCTCAAGATGATGTGGTTTGGCATTTGGTTCCTGATTCAAGGGGTATTGATTCAGCCATTGCCGAACCCTGGGTTGGAGGGGGCAGGCTGCACAACTGCTGTATTTTCGGACACCATTACATATGCTACATCTATGAATCTAACTAAGAGAATTGACACTTGTGCCATCCGCAATTTCTTCCGTGGTTAATGGAAGATTATGTGCCAATTCCTAAAATCAAGTACAGGATTCAAAAAATCGACTCCCCTTGTGCTGATTTTACTTTTGGTTTTTCTTGAGTTGGCCAAATTCAATTGTTCAAGCGAGCTATTAGAGCAGAAATGACCGAATTTATTGTGTGTGAAATAATATTGGGGCATGTGATCAAATTCTCACGAATTGTGACCATGCAAGTGACCTGGTAAAAGCATTCTAATAAAGGTGTCACGTTTCAATTCAGTTCAGAAGTGAACTCAATTGTTTTCAAACCATCTGAAGTGAAACCATGAGCACCATTTGCTGATGCAGATACAGAACGAAAGTCCCTTAGGTCTCCGGCCCAATCTGAGTCGGAATAACCTGTTTCGTCATCGAGTTTCGAATTCCCGTTATAGACCAACTTGTAGTCCTTGGTGGCGTTAAGATAGCAAAGGAGGCGGTTAATGGCAGTCCAGTGATCTTCCCCTGGATTCGATGAGTATTGACTCAACGTGGTGATGGCATAGCCGATATCTGGTCAGATAAGTGCAGAAATTCAGAGGTGGCTTGAAATTGAAAGTGAACCACAGCTATGTGAATGCAGCAAGCTTGGCATTATCATTGGAAGAGACGGCAATGAAGCAAGCAGCGATATAACAAAGAGACCAGCTGAGTGAGTATCTAGACCACGTAGATGTCAAGGTTCCAAGAGGTCTTCCTTCCGTTTGCCACCTTCCATCTATGCCCATTAGGGCCTAGCTCTCTGACTCTGTCGTAACCTCGTCGAGCTTCACATGTTTGTTAATCTCTCATGTTTGTTATTCACATACAATGTTAACCGCACCTTTGACAATGGACGTAGCTAGTTTTCTTCCACCATTTCACCCGTTGTAAAGCTGTCGGATATTGGCCTTGATATTTCGAGCCCCACCTCGCAGTACAGCAAAAGGACCAGAAGTCCATAATGCATTAATCGCTGTCTCATTCATTGGGGATGTCATTATCATCCGAGCAGCCGGTTGCCTCGATGGTGGACAATCATCAGGTTCGCCCTGGAGCCTAGCAGACAGATAGGCAGGTTACCAGTTAGCGGACAGAGCTGCTCTTCGAGACTACAAGCCGCGAAGTACTGAAAAGTGGCGTGCAGTAGTTGCCTTTAATCCCACTCCGAAGCACTTGAAGAACATTCGTACGCCAGATTGATTGGCGATGAAGGGAAAGGAGGACTACTGCAGGGAGTGCAATAGATAGCACTGGCACAATCGTAGTCATAGCAAGGGCTGGTGCGAAACATTGATGAACAGGACTTGTTGGACACTATCCACATGAGAAGGAATTTGCCTCTGTCGCAAGCCTCGAGTGAAGCCGTAGGGATGTTGGAACTGGAGCTGAGGGAAAATATGTGCACACACTCATCTGGGTGCATTAAGGGTAGAGGTCATGTGAACTGGATTGTGGACCGGTTATAATAGACCCACGACGAACGTGGCAACCCCTGGTAAGTGCTGGGAATCGCATCAGCTTGCTGAGGAAGGTGTTCAAAGATCCGCGTAGCCATATTAACATCTCAAAGCATCATGTAATAGTTTGAACGAAGCGAATTCCGGAAACAACCGTTTCCTCCTAGTAGCAAGCAAGGCAATGTGACCATGAGATCAGAAATTCCCGTCATCAGAAATCCACATTTGCCACCGAATATTTGCACACCTTCACTGAAGCTTCGCTCGATGTCACTCACTTTTTTCCAAATGTACGTCTTGTCATTCTCGATAGTGGGGGCAGCTTGCATCTGGTGGAGATTTGACGGAGTTCCGTGTTGGAGAAGTTAGGCACAGCAGGTCACGGGCATGTGCGGGCGTGGGAATCTCAGGCGGCAACCCAGAATTCCAGCCTCACTCGTTCCCACGGCGTCTAATAAATTGGTAAAAATGCTCATTGGCTGCGTGAGAGTTATCTCCGGCTACATTTCCAATTTAGGCTCATAATTCCGTAAATCCATTGAGATATCGCTTATTTTCTTATATTTTCATATTTTGCCATCATTTCAGATATTGATTGATATTCTTTTATTGTTACTGTTACCCTTTTTTATTATTTCGCCTAATAAGGTATCCAGGTGCCATATGGTACCAATATTCCCCATCTATTATTTCTAAAAATAATTATTTCTTATAATCCTGTACATACCGGATTTTGGAAAAGAAGTTCTCCCCTCCCCCAAAATTCTCTAAGGTGCTAGGACGCGCTAGAGAGGGTGTGAGTGTGTGGAATTCCAACAGTAGGAATAAGGGCAGTGATCTAGCTCACAACGAGTGAGTAGTGGACACTGAGCCCGGACCTTGCGGAATCCCGGAGAACCCACACAGAGTTAAGGATCGAGAACGTAGCGAGTTTAGTGGAGAAAGTAGAGTTTAGGGAGAGTTGTCCCCCACGAGCTGTGTCGGCATAGAGAGCCGCGAGCCCTCTTTCAGTGCATGTTGCCTTCTTTGATCCTTCAATCACGCATTATCCAATGTGTAGGGACATATGTCCCAACTTCCTTGTTTCCTGACTCACACCACAGTTCACTCTTTGGTGGAACCCTCAGCAGCTTTCGCGGGGCAAAGTGGGACTTTGCCTATGGGGAGGCTGGTGCTCCTAGAATTGGCTGGGAGGAGCTTATGAGCGCTGGTGCTAGAAGATCCAGTGGTGCCCACTTTGGAGGGTTCCGCATACCCACTAAACTCCGGTGCCGTTCACCCAATCTTCGGTAGACTCTGTTCATATTCTGGAACTCGTTTCTCGGTATGGCACCCCCTTTGTATTTTTTCTCGTCCGTTAGCGTCATGCTTTGGTGTAGTTCTTCGTTCGGGGCATCAGAGGTGTGCAAGACTTGTTCATCTACGAGAGACTACATCCCCTTCCAAACCGCCTCCTTTACTCCGTGTATGGATGATAACAGACCGTCAAGTCCCGTGTCCATGGTGGTGCAAAGCTCTGATATTCCCCTGCACAACTGTGTGGGCGAGGCCTCAAACGGAGTTCAGTCTGCCAAAAGTAACGATTCGGTCCTTTGCTCAAACTAAGCACTCAACATCATCGCAGCTGAGGACTTGGAGGGGCTAGTTTGTAGCCTTATCACCATCAAAAGTGATTGTGTGATGATTGTCTTCATTAGGGTTTCCGTTTGGCGTTATCTTGCACCTGAGCTTCCATGCTAGCCGTCCATACTCTAGTTTCCCGGAAACTGTTTTCATTTTTCGGTGCATTGAATCGGGAATTTATGCGTCCTTATTGTAGTTATATCAGAAATGGTGTAACACGTGGGTAGCAAAGATCCCATCTCCCACTTCTTCGACCAAACGTTCAATGGTGCTCACAATCTCACCGCTCAAGCCGGGGATGCGGATAACATTCGTTTGGGTTGCATCGATTATTTGGACTCCTTTGATCCCACAACTTGATGGGTTATTTGGAGGGAGGTGTCTCCATTTTATCTTATCACACTTATCCACCGGTCCTAGTCACTGCGACTGACCGCAGCTTGATGCTTCGATTCCAATCCTTTTGCGGATGAAGAGATGTGTCAGGGCATACACCCTGACCTAGCCCATACCGCATCCACACCCGCACTCGCACCCGCACCCGTGACTGCACCCGGCTGTTGCACTCCCCGCGCGCACCCTGTGCCGGATGCTCAGTGCGGCCGGATGGCCCGGACCTCGGGTCTCGGGTCTCATGTGACTTCCGGATATCTCCGGAAGTTTTCGATGTATTGTGGCCACTGTGGGAAGATGAGAAGTTAACTTCCTTCTCATCTCTGACCCACAGTAGGCAAGTTGTATATACTTGCCTCTCTTTTATATACCATCTCTGACCCACAGTAGGTTGTGCCCTGGACAGGGCTGGTTACACCTGGGACTGTGGACCATAGGGGAGGGTCATGGGGACCCGGGAGTCGTCCCCTGACAAGATGTGCCATTCGTCATCAATCGTCAATGGGAGCTAATGCTCCCTGGTCAGGGCCGTGGAGTCCAAAAGGAAGTCAGTGGGTTGCTCTCTTCCTGAGTTCCACTTCACATTCACTGACGCAACAAATAAAAAAATTCTTGGCTAACAAACACAGTGCCACCTTCTTTCCCAGATATCTTCCGTGATTTACACCTAGCTTAGAGACGTGTCAGATTCAGCGGGACCCGAGAGTGGTGTTGCATTATAATCACCTGGGCGGTCAAAATGCTGTGGATCGATTATGGGGATTGTCAAAAAGTATGATAGTCATGCCCAACCAGACTAAGAACACAACAGGAGGTGATTGAGGCGAGATCTGCTCGAAAACCGCAGGTCATGGTTCAGGGCATACAGATAGTGGCAAATATTGGGACGATGGGAGATGTGATCAGAAAGGAACTTCGTCTGGTCAGCGCTCACCACGACTGGCTCGAGATACTGGATGGCAGGACCTGAAGTCAACACTGGCATCCCCATCAAACCAATATCGGTCAATCCAATCCTCGTAATTAGGTTCAATATTAGTTTCAATCAACCCAAGTGGAAGAGAGAGGGCCTCGTTTGGTGTGGCAAGATCGACTTCCTCGCACCCCCCTAAGGGACCTTGAAACTGTTGAAGGTAGGCCCGGATCCCCTAAAGTAATCTTCGAGCGAATCTCTACAATCGGACAATTATCCTCGAGAATGTTAGACTAGAGTGCGTGCTTTGCACCGCGGTCACCTGCACAGCACCCATTAATGAATGAAAGCCAATTTTTTTCCCAATCAGAGATTGTAACCTGTGCAAGGTGCATATGGTACAAAGAAGTATATACAGTAGTTGCCACAGAACGAAGTCACATATGGTACAAAGATAATTCTGCGAAATCCATCCAGAAGGAGTAAAGCACTTTGCCAGCACTCTCTATGTTTTTTGTTTTTCGCTGTATTCCTAATCGCTTTCCACCTGTCAGAGACCAGATTCGAGACGAGGGAGTGTCTCCGTAGCGGAGGGCTTTGGCCTCAGCGACTTCTGCCAAGAGCGCTGTGCCTAGTGACACGTCCGTGCCCTAACTTACTGACTGGCAATCAGAACCGAAGGGGGGTAACTCTAGTTGATTTTATTACTGGGGTGTAACCTATGTACAAGTGGGATATATATATGGTTACAGCGAAGACGGGTCCGCGATTGGCGGAGCCGAACGGAGCAGAGCTAACGGGGTTTAAACATTAGCCGACTGAATATTACCGACGAGTCGGGTCGCGGGGTTAGCGGAAAGGCAGGCAATAACCCAGAAACGGAAAGGAGGGATAGGCCCAAAGGTGGGCTCTGCAGGGCAGGTGAGTGTATTGCCCAGCGGAGGCGGGAGTGCGCTAGCGGACGTCGGAGCTGTCCGGAAGTCTTTGGGGCTCCGTACTTAGGGAGGCGTAGGTAATAAATTGAAATGAGGGGGTGGTGACCATCGAGGGATACCGAGAGGATTGCGGAATACGGGAGCTCCGAGGTTAGTGAGGGAGGAGCGGAGTTAGACCGGAGGGATCGGAGGAACCGGAAGTCGATGGCCGGGGATGGATATGACACCACCCCTCAATTGAGACCAAATGTGACTGCCCATTGCCGAGCACCAAATGTTAGAGATGGTGTTTCCCTCTTTCTCACCGACGTTGCACACAATAAATTCTTATGCCAGGTGCTGTATCACTTCAATATTCCCCTCAATCCGAAAGCCATTCTGTCCTCTTTGCATCACTCATTTATACTTTACTCTTCCTCCTCTACTGCGGCTCATTCTGACCATCTTTACCAGGAATGGCGCGCACAGGACGCCACCCGTTAGCTGGCCCTGCTTAATCCCTGACAGCAGCTAGTAAGAAACAAATGATAGGGAACCCTTCACATCATTATCCTCTTCTCTCCCAACTACCGTGTGTGTGTGGAGGTCATTTTGCTCTCAGTGCCATGCTCCCTCGACCTGTGGATATTCCCTGGTTTCTGAGAAGGTGGATGCAAGCAATTGGGAGATTTGCAGGGCCGAATGAGTGGCGGGAATTTGCCGTGTCCGCCAGTTATGGTGGGGGTGGGCAACCCAGGTTAGTTCCGTGTTCTGATTATGTAAGGACAATGTATTAGTCGAGTGTCACCAAAATGTCTTGTGTACTTTCTTGCCACACACAACAAATGAAGAGAAGCTTCACTAGTAAACATTGATCGGAATGACCTAAAATATAAATCGGACAGAGGAATTTTTGAGAAAATCAAAAATAGCTTTGTTGTGATCGAGAAAGCAAGTCCATTTTGCCCATATCTTGATTTGTAGGGACATACATAAAAATTCCTCTGTCCGTTTTGTAGAAATACACTATATACACCATATACCCGATTTATGAGTTCTCAAGATGATTGTGGAGAGAGAAAGTACAACCGGCGATTTTTATTATGGTTTGTTTGTACTTGCGCCCCGATGCGTCGGGGCAAACACCACCCAGCTGCTTGATCTTGGCTCATATTACTAGAATCTGGGCGCTGGTACAAGCAGGGGAAGCCAGTATTTGCACCAGCACCAAATACAGGTCAGATTCTAGTAACTGTCAGGGATCAGCAATGACCCTGGACCCTATGCCGGCTGCGCGTATGCGCGTGGGAAGTATGCCGGTAATTCCCGTCTACTCCGCTTACCTAAGCCCCGGTGACCCGGATCATCTCCGGCATTGTTCTGGAACATTCTATGATCACGTGATTCTATCGGCAATCTGTTTGGTTTCCTTATTGCCGGACTCTACATGTATATAGCTGACCCTAAGATGGGGACATCCCTTTCCCCTGGCTTTAATCACAACTAGGTTATCGGAGCACCTTGCGCGAGCACGCGCGTCCCCTGACAGTAACATGAGCCAAGATCAAGCAGCTGGGTGGTGTTTGCCCCGACGCATCGGGGCGCAAGTACAAACAAACCATAATAAAAATCGCCGGTTGTACTTTCTCTCTCCACAATCATCTTGAGAACTCATAAATCGGGTATATGGTGTATATAGTGTATTTCTACAAAACAGACAGAGGAATTTTTATGTATGTCCCTACAAATCAAGATATGGGCAAAATGGACTTGCTTTCTCGATCACAACAAAGCTATTTTTGATTTTCTCAAAAATTCCTCTGTCCGATTTATATTTTAGGTCATTCCGATCAATGTTTACTAGTGAAGCTTCTCTTCATTTGTTGTGTGTGGCAAGAAAGTACACGAGACATTTTGGTGACACTCGACTAATACATTGTCCTTACATAATCAGAACACGGAACTAACCTGGGTTGCCCACCCCCAGTTATGGACATGTAATGAACATGAGGTCATGCACCTCAGGAAGGAAAGACAAACACGTAAGCAAAAGTGGCACAAAAAACGTAATTACGGGAGGTGGAGAGTGACACTGCTGTGCTGGTCTACAATGCAGATGACGTAATGGGATGAGACAGTGCCAACTTACGCAGCCATCTAACGCGTCATCGAGAAGGTTTTTTGCTCCCTCGCGAAACCGACCCCATTGAACTAGTACTACGTGCACGACTCGATGACGCCAGCTTCGACCTGTTCGCAATGGTGCGTGTAGAGATCCCACCGACGATTAGCATTATAGTATAGGGTTCCAGATCATCGGGATCAGGAATGCTCAACCAGTGATGAATGGGAACAAGAAAGCAAATGACTCGGAAGAACGTAAATCGAAGAGTCCTCAAAGTACTACTGCCACCCCATGAAGCGTCAGCTTGAGCAAAAAACATAGAGCATGTGTTCGGCACGATGTGTTACTGACTCAGTGAAGTTACTCATGTCATCATTCCAAGGGTAAATAATTCTGGGTACATCTAAGCGTTTGTGATCGTCATGACTAATGCGGAAAGCATTCAGAAATGTTTCCCCATACCTGGACCCACAAATTCGTGATTAGGTTCTCTTTCCAATCACGCTCGTCATGGTGCGTACACCTGTTGAAGATTTGAATCTCCCCCCGTGCCTGCTCTGTGCCTCTTTGGCTATGGGTTTCTCCTACATGACTCTGACTATGCGGTGGCCGACTTCGTACAGATTCTGGTTGGAATCCTGCGACACTACGTTACCCCCCTCAATTCTCCACCAAAGAAGCAGTCGTTACTTGCCGTTAGGGAGCAGTAAGTATCATCTTGCACCTTTTTCTACTGATCTTGTATGCTTACTCCTTTTTCTTCTACTGCACCCCCACTCGTTACTTCCTGATTGCTCATCGCACAATTACTCGACGGGCCATTTCTTGCTCCCAGATACTTCGAGCCACATCCACGTTCTCCCCTCTTCCACCGCATCTCTATCGCACCATTTCATCACATCTCTACATTGCATTCACCGAAGGAACTTACCTCAAAGACTCTGAATGGTCAGAAGAGGAGAAGAAAGAGAAGGAAGAAAATCCCCCAAATCCACTCGCTGATCCGGGTACCATGGATGGCATGGTGGAAGGGCTGAAGAAGCAAATGGTCATGGGTGCCGCAGATGCTCGTTATGGGATGGATCAATTTCTTCTTTCAGGGTTTCGTTTTGAGTATGTTTCTATCACGCTTTCCCCCTCCCCCGCGCGGAGCGCTCCCTCCCATGGGATGGTCAAGCGGAAGAGTTCTCCTTGTTACTTAGTTAAACTCCCGTTCCCGCTATCTTCTCTTTCATGATATCTTCTCAACTTAATGGACTCATTCGGCTGCTTCTCAGGTCAGAAAATGGTCAGTATATTGATCCGTTCCGATTTTTTTTGTCCGAGCTATTGGCTGAAGGCCCATTGTTTCCTGCCCATTTATGCACTGCCCTTCGTACAGCCGCAGATTCAACGCCAGATATGGCTGCTCAGGCCTCCCCATTCGGCTCCGTGCTGTCCGGAGCTAACGCGCCACCAGTCATTGGACCAGGGGCTCCAGATTACAAGAAACTTTTTGCTCAAGAAAGGATAATCTGCAGTTTGCAGAGGAGCAATATAAGTGGGTTTGCGATGGCGTAGAAACCGGAGTGTTGGAGAAATGGGGCAAGATACGTGCTATAAAGTGACCCTGTAGGTGCATTATTCGGCTGCGGCTCCCCGCGTCTTTCATTTTGCTCCCAAGATAGTAATAACATTTACGCGTGCACATTCCGACAATTGGTGTGCGATGGCGCAAACGCAACTGGTGCTGGAGGCCTAGGCTTACCTTGGGCGTCTGGCTAACAACCTATCACCCATCTTAGTATCTTCCTAGGCAATGGCTGGAGTGCAATAGTCCCCTGGGGTATGAGCGCTTGGTGGTGAAACCCATGCAAAGGCATAGCAGAGTCCCGAACTGAGAGGAGAGGCAATCGCAATGCGACGAACTTCCACCCCATATAGAGAATGGTTTTTGCTCGTTCATGAGGCCGACCTCGTTGAATGACAGGAACAACCCGGCGAGGTTGGTTTCGATGCATCATTGATGCGAAAAGAGATTCCATTAATGATTAGCATCATAGTACGGGATTCCAGACCATTGGGACCAGGAATGCTCAATCAGTAACGAGTGAGGAAAACGAGAAGCAAACAAATCGCCGGGAGAATGCGTATCGAAGAATGCGTATCGCAGAGTGCTCAAGCAGCTGCTTGGTGAGAAGGGGTATATTCTCCTGACACATTTGGGGTTAAGATCGAACTCTGAGCCTTATGTCGTGCTCAACTGAGCCTAGCTGAAGTACTGCCACAAAACCCGCAAAGCGTCAGCTCGAGCTTAGGAAGAGAGCCTGGACGGCTGTTTAACCGACGATCATACGAAAACACGTGGTCGGCGACCCCTGTCGATTTTTCTATTGCAAAAGGTGCAAACTGAGCATATCACTCGAGCATATCACCTGCCTCTGTGCGCGCAGTGGGAGCTTGTAGAGCGGGGAAGATCACATCAACACGCTGGGCGGAGTTAATTCAGACGTTGTAATTCTTGAACAAAGTAAATTGGACGAGACTTGTCCACTCACTGGTGCTGTGCAGTAAACCCACCACATCCAGCTTCTTTCTACAGAAGCATTTCATATGCATCATGTGGGCGCAGCGATTGAGCTGTCTTCCGTTCACTCTTCCACACGGGCATCCTCCCCATGATTACATACGCTCGCAGTGACCGGCCAGACCGCGCTTTCTAGTGACAGCAGTCCGAAGAAATCAGATCTCTTATGGCTTGTGTATTTAGGAGGGCACGTAGGAGACTGAGGCCTGATCGCAGCAAGCCTGATACTCCCAATCTCGTTGGATCCGCTAATGATGTGGCGCCACCCTCATTTTCCCTCGCTCCTGAGGGAAGCATTGACAATCCTCGGGGAACATCCAGTTCATATGCCAACGCCATCAGCCAGCTCAGGCAGTGATCGAAAGAAGGAATCATCGGCGCTACGAGACTAATTCTCCAAAATGGAGCCTCCGCTCTTAAATGTCCCGATTCCGAATCTTCATGGAATCCTAGATTTGCTACTGACTTGGCTCAAACCAGATGAAAGCGTCCGAACCTTATGAGGCCTGAGCCGTCGCCACTGGTGTGAAAGTGCCTGATGGAGGCCCAGGCACGCTCTTGTTCACAGAAATATGAATATACCTAGGTTAACACGCGGGGCCCCTGATATTGCATTGACGCTTGCAGCCCATCGGAAGGTCCAAAACCCAAATCTAACATAGTCTCACAACCATATCGTGCCCCGGGCCGCCCCGACTCTGGTGGGATGTTTTGTCACGTCGGCGCAACTTGCGTGGAGTGAACATGTCGCCGAGTAAAACTGCAATCAAACCCCCCCATCCGAAGTGCACGACGAGATTGTGGATGAACGAACAGCACCCAGGATACCTAAAGAGAAATATACTGCACTTGAGGCAGCATCCCCAGAGCATTCATTGAGAACGAAGAGTACGCCCTAAGATGAATTATCGACTCCCAACAGCTCATTCGCTGAATCCAAACCGATGAGCAAATTATCCAGAAGGCGTTAACCCAAAGGATGAACGAGGGTTTGTTGAATAAGTGGACGCTTCGGGAAAACCACTGGCAGCTGTGCACCCGCTCCATTGGAGAGCAGTGTCAAAGCCGAAAACGTATCAGATTCGGCAGGAGCATGCAGAGTGACCATTGCACTGTAATTATTTGGAGTGGCCAAAAATGCGACGATGAGATTTCCAGTAAGCGCGATAACCGTGCTCAATCAGTTCATGGTTCCAGAATGTATGAATGGTGATAAATATTAGGACGATTGGACAGAAATTTTGTTTGATTGGCGCTAACCATGACGGGGTTGAGGGACTCCTGCGATTGGCAAATGCTTCGTTAACTGAGCAAAGAAATCTGAGGGTGTTGAAGGGCGAGCATATCGTCACTAGGAGCTCGTGTTCGGGCGAAATATGAATCCCAGGGGCCAATGAGGGATGAATGACGCAATGGGGTGAGTCACAGGGTCATCTAGCTCGTTACTGAGAGGGGCTTTCTCCTCACTCGCAAAATCAGCCTTGCATACCAGACTCGTACCCAGTCGGAGGAGCTCCGTGGACGCGCAAAATAATAGCTCTTTACATAAATAGACGTTCTCACGTTCTGTACTCAATGGGAACGTTTATTTACATTGCGTAAAGAGCTATTTTCCAACGACGATGCCAAGCTTGCTGTGTGCGGGTTCGCATAGCTGCGGCCTGCCTTCAATTTCAAGCCTCTAAGTTTCTGCGCTTATCCGGTGAACTTCGGCACAGTAAAATCTGTGGAGAGAAAAAACGTGGATAAACATGGCAAGTAAGAATTTCTAACACTGCAATTTCCAACCTATACAATAGTGCTACTTAACTAGGTACTGCCCCTTCAAATAATGTCGCATATGCATCATGTGCGCGCGGCGATTGAGCTATTCCCCGTTCACTCCACGCGGGCATCCCCCTTACTACCCCAGTGCAATGCCTAGAAAAAATCCGTTCAAAATCATCCCCCAACGTAACAAAGGAAGTCATTCCGCCCCCGGCTCATCTTCACAACCACCGCTCCCCTCGACCTCCTCCGAGTCCCCTCATGTTCCCCAGATCAATATCACTAGTCCCCAGATACCCCGAGATCATGACAACACTCACAGCGATCGACACGGGTTGCCGACGGAGCCTTATCCTGAACCCGAAGTGACCGGCCAGGCCCTGCCTTCTATTGAAAGAGCTTCAAAGAAATCGGAATCTCTTATGGGTCATGTATTCGGGTGGGCCCGTAGGAAATTGAGCCCTAATCGCAGCAGGCCTAGTACTCCCAATCTCGTTGAACCATCCAGACCAGCCACGCCTCTCCAGCTGTCCGCTAATGATGCAGTACTTCCTTCATTTCCCCTCGCCCGTGGGGAAAATATCGATAATCTTCGTGAAACATCTGGCTCGTATGCCACACATGACAATGGCCTGAGCCTTCATGCACAATTGGAACGCGAAGGTATCAACATGCCCTCCTTATTGGAACCCACGATCACACGATCGGCCAGCTCAAGCAGTGATCGGGGGATGTAATCATCGGCGCTACTAGACTCATTCTCCAAAATGCGGCCTCCGCCCTTAAGTTTGCCCCGATTCCGAATCTTGATGCAATCCCGGACTTGCTTTTGAAGTGGCTCGACGTCTACGAGGTGAGATCATCCTTCCGCTTCCGGGGTCGATGAGGATGCTTTTGTTTACTCTCCCAATGTTTGTGACATGATTTGGACAGACTGTCGGTGGAAACGACGAAAGTCTTAAAGGACTGGACGATGACATCCGAAAAGCCTACGACACCATTTTACAGCCACTCGCGCTGTCGACTGACCGTATACCCGATGAAGTGATTTTTTTCATTAAGGGGTTTCACTCGTACGTCCACCTGCCTCCTTTGCCACGCGTTTGATCCAATGTTCCTGCTGACAGGGCCCTGGAAGCACAAATTAAGGAGGTTAATGCGCTCAACAATCAAGGTTCCGTGAAGAGGACGATCTTAGCCACCGAAATCGCCACGAGGATAAACGATGTCAAGGCATGTATAAATGATGCCATTAACAACTTCTCGGTTCGTTTCCATTATGTAGGTTCCCAAATACTCTACGCACTGACTGATTGCGTGCCAACAGACCCAGGCAACTACTTTAACGCTGCTTCGTACAATCGAAGCATCGGTGCAATGTACGTTTCCAAGCTCATTCTTAGGGTCTTTCATCAACCCTTCCTTTAGCTGAACTTAAACGGCTTGGGGAAGTCGCGGCCGAGCACACTTACGTGAAAAGCAAGTCAGAATGCCTTCCAAGCACACGGGACAACATACGGGAATCGATTCTTGGTCATCTGAAAGATGCCAGGAACCGATTTGTCTGGCTACGTGGATCCCCCGGTACCGGGAAGACGGCGATAAGTATGAGCATTGCATCTATGCTTGAGGGGGAAAGCGCTCTCGCAGCCTCATTCTTCTGGGACAAAAACCAAAAGGGAACAGGCCTCGATTCTTTAGAGTTGTTCCCTTGTACCCTTGCACGCCAACTTGCGCTCTTCAGTCCGGACTTCAAGGTGTCACTCGTCAAATGCCTTCGGCGGCCAGACATGAGATTGTTTCTGAAGCTTTCTCTGGAGAAGCAGATGCGGACCCTGATCATTGAACCGATGAATGGTCTTAAGGGAGCGTTGTCTGAAGGTAGCCAACGCTTTTCTATCATCTTGGATGGCTTGGATGAGTGCGGGGGTCCTGAGGAACTTGACTCCCTGATGGAGCTCGTGCTTCTACTTCGCGAGCTGCCCTCGCCCTTTGCTGTACTTGTTAGCTGCCGGCCGGAGTTCACAGTCCTTTCGGCTTGGACCAGAGTGCGAGATCAGGGTCTTATGGTCCCCTTTGAAGATGTGGATCAGATTGAACGGGACACTTTCCACACCATCCGTTGCATGGTGGACGAAGGATTTCACAAATTTATCGAAAACTCCCTATGGAAACCATCTGACGAAGATCTTGATGTCTTTGCGAGAGGTTGCCGTGGATTGCCTATTATGGCTTCAACCCGAATACGTGATGCAAAGGTTCAGATTCGGTACTGCGGTTCGGCTCTTAAATCGGAGTTCGAATATTTCCGTAATCTTATTGAAGTACCTATGGATCTGAAGTCGGAGTACTTGCGGATCATGCGACGAGCCTGCATGCCGAATTCATCCAGTGTCCGTCCACATGTGGCCAAGACCTATCGCGAAGTAGTTGGGATACTTGTTGCCGCAAGTTGGAGTGGTCTTGGCACTAACGACATATCGCAACTCCTAGGAATTGCTGAAGATGAAGTGCACTCAATACTAAAACCCATTAGCTCGATCGTTGATCCTATCGGTGAGAAACAAGATGAAGTATTGTGATGTCAAGGGGTGTAGTATTGGATTACGACTTCTTCGATTTGTAAATGATGTCATTCAGAAGAACGAGTTTGGCATCGGTACTGGGCCTGTTGGTGTGGACCTATCCACTGGTCGGGGTGTAGGCGTAACGAGCCTCTTCCAGGCTCGCTATCAGGAGGGCAGACCAGTATGTACGTGAGCGTGAGAGTAGCAAGTATTTGCTGCGTTAGATGCCCACTGAACTTCCTTTGGGAGATAGAAAGAAGTGGGCTCGCCCAGTTCTTCTTTCACTTGGACCTTTTTGCACAAGAAAATAATGAATTGCAACGAGAATATGAACAATTCCTTGCAAAAAACATCCTCTTACCCTTGTCATGGCCCCGGGATGACCTGGAGCCGGAGTTAACGATATTTGAGAAATGGAAGTCGAGGGCACATGTGGGTTCTAAATTAATTGTATTCGTGTATCTCAATTATATGACATCAGTCTTTGCATCAGAAACCCAAATCACTAGCGCTGGTAGGGTGGGGTCCCAACACCGATCCTTGGCATGTTTACCGATCGGATCCAAATACATCTCATGTTTGTTAGAGCGTTCCCCCCAAACTGGACGGCCGAGCTTGCAGGACCTTCGGTGCTGTGCTGCAAGCCCAGCCATCCAGTTTGGGGGGATCCCTCATAACAAAAGCAGCCTGGTTAGCATCTCCTTTCAGCGTCATTTTTTATCACCTGTACATCACCTTCCCTTTGGCCACCTGTATATTGTAGAGACTGAAGTTTCAGCCTAGCGCAGCCTCGCTGTTACTATATGGCCGCGTAATACAGATGTCGACAACGGCATTATATAGGGCTAGCATACCATACAGCAAAGGTGCAAGGAATCAGGCTATTGACCCCCTAATATACTCGTGAGTGTGTGGCCGCATTTCCCTCGGCTCCGGACCCGACGTACCTACCACTCCCCGATTAAGACCTCAGCCTCTCGCCACGACTCCTGTTCCTCTGGCCAATGCTATTGTATTCCCCTGCGATACTTATATTACTATGTCTCCTTACGCGTTGGAATACGGGTCACCTTCAGAATCAAGGGGTAAGTGCGAGTTTGCAGGATTCTTCTCAGCAACTCAGCTAAACAGCGCAAGGTGGATCACACCCAACCTAGTGGGATTGAGTACGTCCCACGGTCCACTGGTACCATACGCTATTTTCCGATGCTCGCTAAGTCCAGAGCATAATTGTAACTGATGGATGTCCTTTTGATTGCAGGCTTCAACGACCACATGGTTATCTTTGTTCATGCGGTCCACCACACGTGAGTTCACAAGGCTGCAACTGCTATTCTCAGGATCAACCCACCTCTATGATGTTTCAATCAAGATGCTAGCATTAACCCTGAACACTTCCGGCCAGCATCTCTATCACCAGTTTGCGACGACACTCCGAGCCCAGAACCATTCTGCCTTCGCGCTACGGTCAGAGGTGTGCTGAAAGCACAAGTCCTGTGGCTGCGCAATCGACAAAAACCCCGGGACTCCTAGCATGAACCCATCGGATAGCGTAGCTCTTCGTGTCGACCTAAGCGCCCACCTCAGTCTCTGAAAGAGGAAAAGTGTGTAAACAACGGGTAACTTTTGCAATTCCGTGAATCTTGTTGGAAGTTTAGGTGGTCACAAGACCTAAAAGTCTGGACGTTCTGGGAATCGAAGCGCAGAACTCCGCATTGGTCCAAGCTGGTGTGTTACCATTACACCAAACGCCCACTATAGGCCGAGGTGGTTTCCAACAAATCTGACAGCACTGCTTGATTAGGTGTTGTCCCATCGAGCTTCTCTATACAGGCATTCTCATATACATCCCATACGCACGGGGATTGGACTGGCTTCTGTTCACTCTTCTACGTAGCCTCAGGCCCTATCTACACTAGTGTAATGTTTGGGAAAGACGGTGCCTCCCTTCAACGCCCCAACGCTCCTGGAACGTCTTCCAGTCTTTCGAAATCCTCACTCCCGCTTGTCCCCCTATCCAGCGCTCCGCAGGCCCACACCACTAGCCCCCAAATACCCCCACATCCCAACAACACTCACCATGGTCAACGTGAAGAGCCAACGGGACCGTTGACCTCTCAGAATGTACCCCCTGGTGACCGTGGCCGTCTAAAGAAATGGGCATCTTTCTTCAAACGTGCATTTGGGTGGATCCGCAGAAAGCTAAGCCTTGGTCGCAGTAGGCTCAGCGCCCAAGATCTGACCGAACCAGCCAGGCCAACCAGGCTTCCCCAATTGCCACCCGGCAATGTAGTACCACCCGAATCCTCTGTCACCCCTGGAGGAAATATTGATAATCCTCGTGAACCATCCACAACGCACACCAATCGCGAGAATGGCCTGAGCATCGACGCACAATTGGAGCGCGAGGGCATCAATGTACCTCGCTCATCAGGACCCACGGTCACGTCATCGGACAGTCCAGACAGTAATCGAAAGGAAGTAACCATCGGCGCTACTAGATTCATTCTCCAAAATGCGGCCTCCGCCCTTAAGTTTGCCCCGATTCCGAATCTTGATGCAATCCCAGACTTGCTTTTGAAGTGGCTCGACGTCTACGAGGTAAGTTCATCTGGGATCAATGAGGATATTGTGTTCACTCTCCCAATGTTTGTGTGGCATGATTTGCACAGACCGTCGGTGGAAACGACCAAAGTCTTAAAGGATTGGACGATGACATCCGAAAGGCCTACGACACCGTTTTGGAGCCACTCGTGCTATCGACTGACCCTATACCCGATGAAGTCGTTGTTTTAATTGAGCGGTTCCACTCGTGCGTCCACCTGGCTCCTTTGCCACGCATATGATTCAATATTCCTGCTGACAGGGCCCTGGAAGAACAAAAAAAAAGGATCGACGCACTCAACAATCAAGGTTCCGTGAAGAGGACGATCTTAGCACCCGAAATCAGCACGAGGATAAGTGATGTGAAGGCGTGCATAAATGACGCTGTTAACAACTTCTCGGTCCGTTCCCATGGGGGTCCCAAGTGCTCTATGTACTGACTGAGTATGTGCCAACAGACCCAGACAGGTACATTAACGCTGCTTCTTACAATCAAAGCATCGGTGCAATGTACGTTTCCAAATCATTCTTGGGGTTTTTCGTCAACTCTTCCTTTTAGCTGAACTTAAACGACTTGGGGAAGTCGCGGCCGAGCACACCTACGTGACGAGCAAGTCAGAATGCCTTCCAAGCACACGGGACGGCATACGGGAATCGATTCTCAATCACCTCAAAGATGCTAAAAACCGGTTTGTCTGGCTTCGCGGATCTCCTGGGACCGGAAAGACGGCGATCAGTTTGAGTATCGCATCCACACTCAAGGCCGAAGGCACTCTTGCAGCCTCCTTCTTTTGGGACAAAAACCAAATGGGGACGGGCCTAGATTCTTTGGGGCAGTTCCCTTCTACCCTTGCTCGCCAACTTGCGCTCTTCAGTGCGGACTTCAAGGTATCACTTGTCAAATGTCTTCGGCGGCCAGAAATGGGATTATTCCTGAAGCTTTCCCTGGAGGAGCAGATGCGGATTCTGGTCATTGAGCCAATGGGTGGTCTCAAGGGTGTGTTTTCCGGTGGTGACAAACGTTTTGCTATTATCTTAGATGGCTTGGATGAGTGCGGGGGTCCAGAGGAGCTTGACTCCCTGACGAAGCTCATGCTTCTACTTCGCGAGCTGCCTTCGCCTTTTGCTGTGTTCTTTAGCTGTCGGCCGGAGTCTACAGTTCTTTCGGCTAGGACTAGAGCGCAAGATCAGGGTCTTGTGATCCCCTGTGAAGATGTGGATCAGATTGAACAGGACACTCTCCGCACCATCCGTTGCATGGTGGACAAAGGATTTCACGATTTTATCAAGGACTCCCCAGCGTGGAAACCATCTGACAAAGATCTTGAAGTCTTTGCGAGAGGTTGCCGTGGATTGCCTATTATGGCTTCAATCCGAATACGTGAAGCGCAGTCCGAGATTCGGTACCACGGTTCTTCTCTTAAATCGGAGTTTGAATATTTCCGTAAACTTAGAGAACTACCCGAGGATCTGAACTGGGAGTACTTGCGAATCATGCGACGAGCCTACATGCGGAATTCCTCCAGTATTCGTCAACATGTGGTCAAGAATTATCGCGAAGTAGTCGGGATACTTGTTGCCGCAAGCTGGAGTGATCTTGGCACAGACGACATATCACAACTCCTGGGAATTGCTGAGGATGAAGTACGCTCAACACTCAAACCCATCAGCTCGATAGTTCATCTTCCCTCCGACATTGAGCAGAGCGTCAAGTTCTACCACGCGACGGCAAAGGAGTTCATTATAGGAAATCCCATCGGCGAGAAACAAGATGAAGTATTCTTTATTCATGATGACAAGGGGAAGGGGTATAGCATTGGATTACGACTTCTTCGAATTGTAAATGATGTCCTTCAGAAGAATGAGTTTGGCATCCCCACCGAACTTCCCTTGGGAGATAGGAAGAAGTGGGAGCTCTTTCAGAGCAAGCAGAAACCTAGAGTTGTCGAAAATGTGCTCAGGCGCTTGTTCTCTCACTTGGACCCTTCGCTGCTCTTTTCACCGGAATTCAATGAATTGCAAAGAGAGTTTGAACAATTCTTTTCAAAAAACCTACTCTCATTCTTGTCATGGCCCCGCTTGAAAGGGACACTTAATATATGGTCAAAATGGAAGTCGAGTGCACATGTGGGTTCTAAATCGATTGTACTTCGTGTATCTCAATTATAACCATTCTCTGCATTACAGAATCACAAATCAATAGCGCTGGTAGAGGAGACATATGATCTGATACGGAAGTTGGGTTTCTACTTCTACCCTTGGGGTCTTTATCGATCAGGCCTTCCATTCACTCCATCGTCATCACGCCTCTATCAACTCTATGGCCATCTCTCAGATCCCGTTCGAGTCTTCAGTGTATCTGGCGAGTTTTCCGGTGGTTTTATTCCTTTGAGCGAGGATGCACGGGTGGCTCAAGAGGTCATGAAGGCAAAACAGACTGAACTGCCAAAGAAGTTGAATGAACACGGCAGGGAAGAAACTAATTACGAAGCCGAGTTCGCTGAACATGATGTTCGCAACGGAATCGTGACCTGTGCAGCGATCTCTCAAAATGGTTCTCATGTTGCCCTTGGCTTTGGAAACGGTGTCATTGAGGTTGCTGACATCGACCACCAGCATATAATTTCTCGATTTCAATGCAATCCTCCCAAGCCTCCCGTTTGGATCGAGTTTATCTTTGGTGGCAGTGTTCAGATTGCCACTGAGGATGCTGATGGAAACATCACTATTCTTGGTCCTGGAACGAGTTCGGCCACGCTTGGTACTCTCCCCAGTGGTTGTTTCCCTGCTGTAACTGCAGTGTCGAACGATGGATCTTTCATCATACGAGCCCCACAAAATTTCGGCCAGGCTTGGTACAAGAACATGGCACTCATACGTTTTTCCGGCGAGCCATCCGTTCAGCTCCTTGCATCTCCTTCCACCCCCTCTCCTACTCAGTCTACCCAATCTCACTCTGATCTGTCCATTCCTCAACGTCACACAGTTCGATTCTCTCCAAGGGGCCGATATGTCGGTGCTTACGACACAAACCGTGCGTTCGTCTGGTCAACAGATTCACACAACTTGTGCATTGCTCAATATCGCGTGCAAAATTTTAAGACTTGGATTTTCAACATTGGTCTTGAACCCCCTTTCCTGCATGACATCCCTATGCCCGTACTTCGTAACCCCACCTTGCCTTTGATTCCAGGAGATGGTGCAACTCATCCACCAAGTACCGAGCCAGATTTAGGGCACGATGCGGATGAATCCTGGTTGAAGCGCCCTTTTTACGACCTCTCACCCAGCATAAAAACTAGCGAAGACCGCGTTATTAAAGTCTATTCCTTCGCAATGGGAAGGATTCCATTAGCTGCTACCACCCACAGCGGGCTACGCATTTGGTTCAATGGTGAAGTCGAACTCATTGTCTCATTCGACTACTCACCGACCGTACGATCCGGAAATTCTTTCAGTGAGAAAGATCCTTGGTACGGCGATGTGATGCTCAAGGGTGGTGATGGTGAGATAGACTCGGACAGCATATATTTTCCTCGGGCAAGCAAGGATGGAACTCGATTCCTGCTCCAAGGTGGGCTGAAAGCCCCAGTGGTCATCGATATTAGCCAAGTTGTTTAATAATTATATGTATGTTTAATATTGATGTCATTTTCAAAGTTATTACAAGCTTCTAGCATCCTGTTTATAAAATGAATGGAAGTTAAGAGGATATCGATTAAAGAGCTCTAGCATTTTGGTTGGATGAAAATTCCGCAGTCTTTGTGGACAAAATTTCAGTACAAAACAGCGCAGCGGGTTGCCCTCAAATAAAAGACATAAGAATGTGTAGCCAAGCAGCAAAAACGACACATGCGAGAGGTATAAGTATACGGAGCATTGGAGGTTTGTCGTATTCCCTTGAAGAACTTCGGAAACATTAATGATCATCATGAATTATGAACTGAGACCTCACACTTGGATTCGGAGCACGAATAGGATGACCTAAGGGATCGTGCACACGAAAATCTGCGACTCAACACCGTTCGCCCCGCCGTCTACTGAGGAGCTGCAACGCGGATCCGGATTCCTGAAGTGTTTGCATTCTTTGCCCAATTGTTCGCAGTTGTCTTAGAAACCGTGAAATAGACTGGGTCGCATTTGGTTCCAACCATCACCGCTGGGTTGGTGCTCAAGCCTTATTCCGCTCCTGGTTGCATCTCGCTCCTCCCGACTTCCCCACATCCATATCACGAATCCTCGGATCACGACAAACCCCGCAATCGACATGGAGTGTTAACTGCTCAGACTGCATTTTCATATCATTCGAACGACGTTATGCGGCGGTGAGGTGGTGCCTCACTTGTAGGGCAAGCGTATTGATGGCTGAAGTAAGAGATACAATGTTGCCACAATTAAACTTGTCTGCGTCCGGCAGGTTAGGAACTTGGTGGTGGTTCCTTGCTCTGGACGTGAGGTTTTCGACCACAGCCTCCGTCGATTTGACTAGCTCATTGGCCGTAGATAATGGGTCGTTGGAGGCCGGCAACGTGCTGTCTGGGGATTGACGAGGGGTGCAGGTATAGCAGTGTTGACCTGGTTGTGGAAACAGAGACGTTGCGCAGGGTCATGGTTGCACAGAACGTTTAGGGGGCACATCTGGGGAGGCTGGATGGTTGGATCTAGAGGCGGTGTCTCAGTCTCTCCAGCGCTAGTACTTCTTGATATTCTTGCTACCAAGCATCTGCAGTGGTGGGTGGGATTGGCAGCTTGAAGTCTGCACATATTTGTTAGAAGGTGGCCGTAGACGTGCTGATAAGACTAGGGAAAGCCTGCCTCTCGTGAGACAATCGCGAACATACCATATGTAACTTGTAGGAAAGGAGAGCTGTAATACATATGTTGAATCAAGGACTGGCGATAGTGTTGTACCCACAAATTGCGGCTTCGTGAGATACGGCTCAAAGCTGAGAGTTGGGTAGGTTTGACAATGATGACTGAAGAATAGTGGAGAGCTTGGAGACGTGTCATGTTCAGCGGGGCCCGAGAGCGGTGTTGCATTATAATCACCCGAGCGATCCAAAATGTTGTGGATCGATTATGGGATTGCCAAGAAAGTACAACAGTCGTGCCCTGCCAGACAAAGAACACAGATTGTGACGAGATCTGCTTGAAAGTCGCAGGTCATGGTTCAGGGTGTACGAATAGTGGTAGATATTGGAACAATGGGAGATGCGATCAGAAAGGGACCTAGTCTGGTCAGCGCTCACCACGACGGGCTCGAAATACTGGCGGCAGGACCTGAAGTCAACACTGGCCTCCCCACCAAACCGATATCGGTCAATCCAATTCGTCCAAGATTAGCTTCAATCAGCCCGAGCAGAAGAGAGAGGGCCTCGTTTGGTGGCAAGATCGACGGAACAGAATTCCTCGCGCCCGCCTAAGGGACCTAGAAACTGTTGCTTGAAGGTAGGCCCACCTGACCGATCTTCGAGTGAATCTCTACAATCGGATGATGCTTTTCAATTATCCTCGAGAATGTCAGACGCTGGTCCAGGATGCAGATGATGTAATGCGGTGAGATAGAGTGCCAACTCACGCAGCCATCCAACCCGTTATCGAGAGGGTTTTTGCTCCTGCACGAAATCAGCCTCATTGAACTAGATGCACGACTCGGCGTTGCTAGCTTGGACCTGTTTGCAATGGTACGCGTAGAGATCCCACCGACGATCAGCATTATAGTATGAAATTCCAGACCATCGGGATCAGGAACGCTCAACCGGTGATGAATGGGAACAAGAAAGCAAATGATTCGGAAGAGCGCGGAGAACGTAAATCGAAGAATCCTCGAGGGGTGTTCTCCTTAATATTATATATAGACGCGTTCAAGTCGCATTGACTCTGAGCCTCGACGTGTTCTAGCTGAAGTACTACTGCCACGAATGGGTAGGCAGGTTCCCAGCCTCTACTAAAGTAGAACGAATGGTGTGCTATGTCGTTCAGTCCGATTGCGGCTGGCTTACGGATCCAAACATTTTGGTCACGAGTTCAAACCATACATTTGTCGGAAAATCCCGTATATCGTTTAAACGTGACTGCGGAAAGTGCCATTCCAGTGGCCGTTCCAGTCAATCCCCACAGCCGGAAAGGTTTCAAGCCCGGTCTACATATAGGACATATTAACATGTGGCCCTGTATCATCGGCGCTTTGGATTCAACGTCTCTGAGAAACTCACGAAGGCGTGCCCCGATTCACACCCCCTAATAACAAATAACAACTATGAAGATATGGTTCATAACGAGAATCTTACGCCACTGGAGGAGGTTAAGAATTATAGAATCTGCGGACAACCGTCTATATGTTAGATGATAAGACAAAGGGATGAGTGGCGTAAGGACAAAGTTGGGAGGCAAAAAGCGTCGGGGCACAATCCCCAACGCGACAAGGGGGGCGCAAAAGGAGTGGCCAGAATGGGAAAGGTGCCACCCGGCTAAGCGGGACCGGGACCGGATTGAGTCCTTTGAGCGGGTGCATGTTAATGTTTCAACAAGAATCGCGTGGGTTGTTCTTATGTGCGTTTCCTCATTTTTTAATGCAGAGGAATCCTTCGCATTAAACAATTAAAAACTTTCTACTTCTGTGGGTAGCCAAGATCCTCTTTCCCACTTCTCCGACCAAACGTTCGATGTGCTCACAATCTCGCTGTTCAAGCCAGGGATGCGGATAACATTCGTTGGAGTCACATTGATTATGTGGACATCGCTGACGATGGGTTATTTGGAGGAAGGTATCTCTATTTAATTTTATCATACTTAATCCCGCCGTCGCTCACACCCTCACCAATCCAGGGCACCAGTTCTAGTCATTGCGACTGACCGCGGCTTGACGCTCCGATTCTTCAAAATTGGAGCTCCTTCACGGATGAAAAGCCCAGAAGAAATGCGCCACTTTATCATCAGTCGTGAATGGGAGCTAACTGCTCCCTGGTCAATGCCATGGAGCCCCCGAGGAAGTCGGTGAGTTGCGCTTCACATTCGCTGACCCAATTAATTTTTAAAAAAAAGTTCTCAGCTAACGGACACAGTGCCGCCTTCCTTGCCAAATATGCAGAGATATCTACAGTGATTTGCTCCTATGTACTTGAACTCTATGCCCCATTGGCTGCGGCTCCTAGTGACCGCAACGACTGCATCTGCTCTCATGCCGTTGTTACTTGCTAATGATGCCGAAGATGCGAAGGGAAGATCGCCGGCTAGCGTGGTGAAGAATGGCCCGACTGACGAAGAGAAAGGGGAGGAAATAAATATTCATGGTTCTGCACACTACTTGAAGCCTACTTTCCTTCTTGTGAATGGGTTGTTCAACGTGAGACTACAAACAAACGCTTCTGATGCACCCCCTGATATTGCATCACCAGCGCTTGCAGCCTATTGGAAGGTCCGAAACCGAAACCTAAGTACACTATCATAGCCCCACAACCATATCGAAGTTGTTACCGCTGTACCCATCAATCTTTGACAGAAGGCGAATCTTAACGGACGCAAGGATAATCGGGTTGTAAACATCCAGAGCACGCAGTGTATTCCCCGACCCTGGTAGGATGTTTTGTCCCGTCACTATCATTTGCGTTGAGTGAATATGTCGCCGAGTAAAACTGGAGTTAAACCCCCTCATCCAAAGTGCACGACAATACTGTGAATGCCCACTCAACGGACAGCACCCAAGATACGTGAAGTGAGGTTACTGCACTTGAGACAGCATTCCCAGAGCAAATGTGTAGCTTCAATGAGAACGAAGAGGATGCCCTAGGATGAATTATCGACTCCCAACATCCTCAACGGCTCATTCGCTAAATCCCAACTGATGAGCAGATTATCCAGAAGGCGTTAACCCGAGGGGTGGACGAAGGGTTGTTGAATAAGTGGACGCTTTGGGTAAGCCACTGACTCCGTTGGAGAGTGGTGTCAAAGTTGAAAACGTATCAGATTCAGCAGGAGCACACAGAGTGACCATTGCACTGTAATCACTTGGGTGGCCAAGAATGCTATAGATCGACGATGAGATTGCCAGTAGGTGCGATAACCGTGCTCAATCAAACCAAGAACACGATCGAGGTGAGAGTCGTTTGATAGCTGCAGTTCATGGTTCCAGGACGTATGAATAGTGATAAATATTGGACGGAAACTTTGTTTGGTTCCCGAGTTGAGGGACTCCTGCGATTGGCTAATGCTTCGATCTAAAACTGAGCAAAGAAAACCAGAGGACGTTGAAGGGCGAGCATATCGTCACTAGGAGCCCATGTTCGGGCGAAATATGAATCCCAGGGGCGAGTGAGGGATGAATAACGCAATGCGGTGAGACACCGGTCATCCAGCTCATTATTGGGAGGGGTTCTCTCGTCACTCGCAAAACCAGCCTTGCATGCTATGTAACAGGATGGTGTTCTCCCAAGACGTATTGGAGCTTAGAATGACTCTGGCGTGTCCCACTTGAGCCATGGCGGGTTTAACCGAAACACGACGCTCCACAGATCCTACTTGGCCTAGCTGCCACTCGCTCGGCTGCATGCATGCACGTACGGCCTCTGTGTTATATTCACTGCTTGCTTCATTGCCGTTTCTTCCAATGATAATCTCAAGCTTGCTGTGTGCGGGTTCACATAGCTGCGGCCTGCCTTCAATTTCAAGCCACCTCGGAGTTTTTGCTTATCCGGTAATCTGAGCGATTCTTACAGTCTCAACTAGGTACTGCCCCTTCAAATGATGTTCCGTACGCATCATGTGCGTGGCAACTGAGAGACTATCTCCCGTTCACTCCACGCGGACATCCCCCTCATCACTTACTACCCCATGCAATGTCTAGAAAAAATCCGTTCAAAATCTTCCCCCAACGTAACAAAGGAAATCATTCCGCTCCCAGCTCATCTTTACATCAGCCGCTCCCCTCGAGCTCCTCCGAGTCACCTCGTGTTCCCCAGATCAATATCACTGACCCCCCGATACCCCGAGATCACGACAACACTCACAGCGATCGACACGGGACGACCGGCCAGGCCGTTCCCTCTATTGACAGAGATTCGGAATCTCTTATGGGTCGTGTATTCGAGAGGGCCCGTCGGAAATTGAGCCCTAATCGCAGCAGGCCTAGTACCCCCAATCTCGTTGAACCATCCAGGCCAGCCAGGCCTCTCCAGCTGTCCGCTAATGATGCAATACTTCCTTCATTTCCCCTCGCCCGTGGGGAAAATATTGATAATTCTCATGAAACATCTCCCTCGTATGCCACACATGACAATGGCCTCAGCGTTCATGCACAATTGGAACGTGAGGATACCAGTGTGCCCCCCTTATCGGAACACACGGTAACACCATCGGCCAGCTCAGGCAGTGATCGAAAGAATGTAATCATCGGCGCTACTAGACTCGTTCTCCAAAATGCGGCCTCCGCCCTTAAGTTTGCCCCGTTTCCGAATCTTGATGCAATCCCGAACTTGCTTTTGAAGTGGCTCGATGTCTACGAGGTGAGATCATCTTTCCGTTTCTGGGGTCGATGAGGATACTTTGTTCACTCTCCCAATGTTTGTGACATGATTTGGACAGACTGTCGGTGGAAACGACGAAAGTCTTAAAGGATTGGACGATGACATCCGAAAGGCCTACGACACTGTTTTGGAGCCACTCGCGCTGTCGACTGAGCCTATACCCGATGAAGTAGTTGTTTTAATTAAGCGGTTCCACTCGTGCGTCCACTTGGCTCCTTTGCCACGCGTTTGATTCAATATTCCTGCTGTCAGGGCCCTGGAAGAACAAAAACAAAGGATCGACGCACTCAATAATCAAGGTTCCGTGAAGAGGACGATCTTAGCACCCGAAATCAGCACGAGGATAAGTGATGTGAAGGCGTGTATAAATGATGCTGTTAACAACTTCTCGGTCCGTTCCCATGGGGCTCCCAAGTGCTCTATGTACTGACTGAGTGTGTGCCAACAGACCCAGACGAGTACTTTAACGCTGCTGCTTACAATCAAAGCATCGGTGCGATGTACGTTTCCGAACTCATTCTTGGATCTTTCGTCAACTCTTCCTTTTAGCTGAACTTAAACGACTTGGAGGGGTCGCAGCCGGGCACACCTACGTGAAGAGCAAGTCGGAATGTCTTCCGAGCACCCGGGACAGCATACAGAAATTGATTCTCAATCACCTCAGAGATGCCAACAACCAGTTTGTCTGGCTTCGCGGATCTCCCGGGACCGGGAAGACCGCGATAAGTTTAAGTATTGCATCTACACTCAAAGCCGAAGGCACTCTTGCAGCCTCCTTCTTTTGGGACAAAAACCAAAAGGGAACAGGCCTAGATTCTTTGAAGTTGTTCCCTTCTACCCTTGCACGCCAACTTGCGCTCTTCAGTGCAAACTTCAAGGTGTCACTTATCAAATCCCTTCGGCGGCCAGAAATGGAATTGTTCCTGGAGCTTTCCCTGGAGGAGCAGATGCGGACTCTGATCATTGAGCCGATGAGTGATCTCAAGGGGGTGTTGTCTGGTGGTGACAAACGCTTTGCTATCATCTTAGATGGCTTGGATGAGTGCGGGGGTCTAGAGGAGCTTGACTCCCTGATGAAGCTCATGCTTCTACTTCGCGAGCTGCCTTCGCCTTTTGCCGTGCTCTTTAGCTGTCGGCCGGAGTCTATAGTTCTTTCGGCTTGGACTAGAGCACAAGATCAGGGTCTTGTGATCCCCTATGAAGATGTGGATCGGATTGAACTGGACACTCTCCGCACCATCCGTTGCATGGTGGATGAAGGGTTTCACGATTTTATCAAGGACTCCCCAGCGTGGAAACCATCTGATGAAGATCTTGATGTCTTTGCGAGAGGTTGCCGTGGATTGCCTATCATGGCTTCAACCCGAATACGTGAAGCGCAGTCTCAGATTCGGTACTACGGTTCTTCTCTTAAATTAGAGTTTGAATATCTCCGTAATCTTAACGAAATACCTATGGATCTGAAGTCGGAGTACTTGCGAATCATGCGACGAGCCTACATGCGGAATTCCTCCAGTATTCGTCAACAGGTGGCCAAGAACTATCGCAAAGTAGTCGGCATACTTGTTGCTGCAAGCTGGAGTGATCTTGGCACTGACGACATATCGCAACTCCTAGGAATTGCCGAGGATGAAGTGCGCTCAACACTAAGACCCATCAGCTCGATCGTCGATCTTCCTTCAGACAACAAGCAGACTGTCAAGTTCTACCATGCGACGGCAAAGGAGTTCATTACAGGAAATCCCATCGGCGAGAAACAAGATGAAGTATTTTTTATTCATGATGTCAAGGGGCATAGCATTGGATTACGACTTCTTCAATTTATAAATGATGTCATTCAGACGAATGAGTTTGGCATCCCCACCGAACTCCCTTTGGGAGATAGAAAGAAGTGGGAGCTCTTTCAGAGCAAGCAGAAACCTAGAGTTGTCGAAAATGTGTTCTCTCACTTGTTCTCTCACTTGGATCCTTCGCTGCTCTTTTCACAAGAATCAAATGAATTGCAAAGAGGGTTTGAACGATTCCTTTCAAATAACTTACTCTTATTCTACTCATGGCCCCAGAACACGCGGGTGGTGATGTGGTCGGTTCGTGTATGGGTGGAATGGAATTCGAGTGCACATGTGGGTTCTAAATCAATCGTGTTCCATGTATATGACATCATTCTTTGCGTTGCAGAACCACAAATCAATGGCGCTGGTCAGGGAGGCAATCAATCTTATAGGGAGGTTGGGTCTCAACGCTGATCCTTGGCATGTTTATCGATCGGGCCTTCCATTCACCCCATTGTCATCACCCCTCTATGAAATCTATGGCCATCTCTCAGATTCTGTTCGAGTCTTCAGTGTATCCGGCGAGTTTTCCGGTGGATTTATTCCTTTGAGCGAGGGTGCACGTGTGGCTCAAGAGATCATGAAGGCAAAACAGACTGAACTGCCAAAGAAGTTGAATGAACACGATGGGGAAGAAACTAATTACGAAGCAGAGTTCGCTGAACATGGTGTTCGCAACGGAATCGTGACCTCTGCAGCAATCTCTCAAAATGGTTCCTATGTCGCCCTTGGCTTTGGAAACGGGGTCATTGAGGTTGCTAATATAGACGATCAGCACATAATTTCTCGATTCCAATGCAATCCTCCCAAGCATCCAGTTTGGATCGAGTTTATCCACGGCGACAACGTTCAGATTGCCACTGAGGATACTGATGGAAACATCATGATTCTCGGTCCTGGAACAAGTATGACAAAGCTTGGCACCCTTCCCAGCGGTTGTTTCCCTGCTGTAACTGCAGTGTCGAACAATGGATCTTTCATCATACGAGTCCCACAAAATCTCGGCCAGGCTTGGTACGAGAACATGGCACTCATCCGTTTTTCGGGCAAGCCATCCATTCAGCTCCTTGCATCTCCTTCCACCCCTTCCCCTGTTCAGTCTCCCCAATCCCACTCTGATCTATCCATTCCTCAACGTCACACAGTTCGATTCTCTCCAGGGGGCCGATATGTCGGCGCTTACGACAGAAACTGTGCGTTCATCTGGTCAACAGATTCACACAACTTGTGGATTGCTCAATATCGTGTGCAAAATTTTAAGACTTGGATTTTCAACATGGGTCTTGAACCTCCTTGCCTGCATGACATCCCTATGCCTGTACTTCGTAATCCCACGTTGCCTTTGATTCTAGAAGATGGTGCAACTCATCCACCAAGTACCGAGCCAGATTTAGGGCACAATGCGGATGAATCCTGGTTGAAGCACCCTTTTTACGACCTCTCACCCAGCATAAAAAGTAGCGAGGATCGCGTTATTGAATTCTATTCCTCCGCAATGGGAAGGATCCCATTAACTGTTACGCCCCCATGCATTTGGTTCAATGGGGAAGTCGAACTTGTTGTCCCATTTAACTACAGATCAATTGAACGAACCGAAAATTCTTTCAGCGAGAAAGAAGCCTGGTACGGTGATGTGATACTCAAGGGTGGTGATGGTGGGATAGACTCGCACAGCGTATATTTTCCTCGGGCAAGCAAGGATGGAACTCGATTCCTGCTCCAGGGCAAGCTGAAAGCCCCAGTGGTCGTCGATATTAGCCAAGTCGTTTAGTGCGTCTCCAATCATTTCTCTGGTTCCTCTACCAGTCTTTTCCCTTTTCAATGCATTGGATCGGGACTTTTTGTAATTATATGTACGTTTAATATTGATCTCATTTTCAAAGTTTTACAAGCTTCTAGCATCCTGTTTGTGAAATGATAGAACTTAAGAGGATATCGATCAAAGAGCTCTAGCGTTTTGGTGGGGTGAAATTCCGCAGTCTTTGTGGACAAAACCTCAGTACTAAAACATACTAACGGCGCGGCATATTGCCCTCAAATAAAAGTGTAGGAACGTGTGCCAAGCAGCAGAAACGACACATGCGAGATATAAGTATACACGACAGGACAGAGCATTGGAGGTTTGTCCTATTCCCTTGAAGAACTTCGGAAACACTGACGATCATCATGAACTATGAACCGACGTCTCGCACTTGGATTCGGAGCGCAAATAGGATGACCTAAGGGATCATGCATGCGAAAATCTTCGGCTCGACACCGTTCACCCCACTGTCTAATGAGAGAGCTGCAACGTGGATCCGGATTCCTGAAGTGTTTGCATTCCTTTCCCAATTGCTGGCAGTTGAAACTGTGGAACAGCATTTGGCTCCAACCAACACCACTGGGTTGGTGCTCAAGCCTTATTCCACTCCTAGTGCATCTCGCTCCTCCCGACTTCCCCACATCCATATCACGAATCCTCGGATCATGACAAACCCCCCAATCAACACGGAGTGCTAACTGCTCAGACTGCATCTTCTCAGCTTTCTATATCATTCGAACGACGTTCTACGGCGGTGAGGTGATGGCTTACTTGTAGGGAAAGCGTATTGATGGCTGAAGTAATGGAGGACAGAGATACGATGTTGCCACAATTAATCTTGGCCGCATCCGCCAGGTTAGGAACTTGGTGGTTGTTCCTCGCTCTGGGCGTGAAGTTTTCGAGCATAGCCTCCATCAATTTGACTAGCTCGTAGGCCGTAGTGGGTCATTGGAGGCCGGCAGTGTGGTGTCTGGGGATTGACGAGGGATGCAGGCATAGGTAACAGTGTTGACCTGGTTGTAGAGACAGAGACGTTGCGTTGGGTCATGTTCGCGCAGAACGTTTAGGGGGCACGTCTGGGGAGGCAGGATGGTTGGATCTAGAGGCGGTGTCTCAGTCTCTCCAGCGCTAGTACTTCTTGGTATTCTTGCTACCAAGCATTTTCAGTGGGGGGAGGGATTGGCAGTTTGCAGTCTGCGCATATTTGTTAGAACGGGAATGGGAGTGGCCGTAGATGTGCTGACAAGACTAGGGAAAGCCTGCCTCTCGTGAGACAATCGCGAACATACCAGATGTAACTCGTAGGAAAGGAGAGCTGTAATACAGACGTTGAATCAAGGACTGGAAATGGCTGAATGGGTTGTGGGATCACAGATCTAATTGTCACTCTCGGAAGGAAGCAACATCTTGTACTTCGGTGCCGCGTACAGTATTAAGGTGTCTGCTCCCGGTGTCGATGTGGAACGATGACGCAATGTGGTGAGAGTGCCACCCGACACATGCATTTAACTCATTACTGGGAGGGGCATTCTGCACTCACAAACTTACTGGCCTTCCATATTGTGTAACAAGGACAACATGGTGACGTTAGCTTGAATAGCATGTGGAGATCCCACTGATCGATAATCAGCATAGCTAGCTGGACTTGACAAATGTAGCATTATAGTATGGAATCCCTGATCATTGAGCTCAAGAATGCCCACCAGCTTAGGCAGGATACCAGCTTACAACCAGCTTTGGATTAGAAGAATGAGAAGCAATGGAAGCGCCGAGGCGCGGAGGCTGGAAAGCGTCCTCACTGGCACGTGGGCAGAATAAGCGGTGTTCCTCTGTGGAGCTTAGAATATTGGTCGCTTTGGCTCGGAGCCTCAATGACGTGTCCCATCCAATCTTTCCAGAGTACAGGCTACAAGCTATCGACTTGGACTTGAGTTGACAGTCACACTGGTGGGTTTAACCGATGTTTCACTGACAGGGGATTGAATCGACGTCGCTGGTTTCATATGCCTGAATAGGAGGCTGTCACGATCATTCACCTTTGTTCTGTCCCCCGCCACAGGGGCCACTCTATCCACCGTCCGATTCTGTTTGACCCCCCATACTCCCTGACCCCTGTTCTCACCCCACAGGGCTAGCGACAGCTTTATTGACTCTGGAACACTTTCAGATGTGACTGCAACCTAAGCTGATATTAATGGCTTGATGCTATCATGCTCTATCGACCAGCCGGATCATTGTGCACTCACTCAGAAAGCGAGTGTCCCTTCAATTGTCCATCCCACGAATTGAATCCTTCGGTACTCGTCATAACGCACTCTCGATCCCAAATCCACGCTCCCAAATGCCTCCCTGAGTATGCTCCACCAAATGACGTCTATGGAACCACTCTTCCGTCGGAATAGCACTGGGACCATCGCGGCATTAACCAAGCACTGCTTCCTTCCGAATTGTAAACATGCCGCAGCTCGTTCACGATACGAGTGACACAATCTCCAATCGTCACTCACCCATGTAGGCGTGCAAGCGGATTCCACCCCCACTTCTCACTTCAAATCCAGACTGCATGTCATCCCAATATTATCAGGATTAGCGTTGGCAACCGGTCCTCTAAAGTGCGTTGCTAGCTTTCGCCCCGGCCCTGGCTACGCAGCTCATAGGCCTTCCTTCAATGCCACCCAGGTGGCTCCGAACGTACCCTATTGCTCCCCTGTTAGATTGTATACCGGAGGCTAACTTTCCCTTTAGCGGACCGAAGGTCATAGCAGGCGCAATAAGTCCTATGTGTAAGGTTCAGGTTTAGAGACATTACTTATCTTAGCCTCGGACGCGCCAGTTTCGTGACCCTTCTCTCACGCTCTGTTGTAATTAGTGCGTTCTCGCAAACGCACCACCCCTCCCGCACATTCACTCTGCGCCTTCGGTTGAAGAGATTCAAGCAACTGTCTCCCCGACAAAGAATTCTTGTTGTGAAGAGGATGATCAAGTTCTTCTTACTCTTCTCGCCCACCCTTGATCACCGAGCAATGTGACTTTCAGCCAATGATGGCAGCCGTGCAAATCGATGACCAAGTAGACACCATCTCCACTGTGGAAAGTACTATTCGAACTGACCTGAAAGTCGCAGCAGTGAGCTCTCGCAGCCGGAAGGAATCCAAGTTCAGTCCACAAGAAATACTCACATCTGATGCTACGTCTTTGTGCAATAGTTGGCCGAGAAAGCGTACCGCCCGATTTGCGCATGAGATACCTCTGGTAATGATGGGGACATAGTTCGCTATGGGAACTATCACACAAAAAGAGGGCTATTCTTGTGTGTTTCCTTCTATTTTGGGTCCAGAGAATTGTCACAACCACGAAACTAGAAGCCAGCAACGGCGATATGATACCACTCAAGGATGGAACTCGATTTCTGCTCCAGGACAGGCTGAAAGCCCCAGTCTTCATCGACATTAGCCAAGTCGTTTATTGCGTCCAGCGCATGTCTAATCACACCTCCAATTACTCAGCAGCTATTTTTATTTTTCGGTGCATTGGACCGGGAATTACATGGCCTTGTTGTAATTATATCAGAAATAGTGTAACGTTAGGATTGGTATCGCTTGAAAAGTTTCATGAGCCTCTAGCATCCTTCTCGTGAAAAGAATACAGCTTAAAAGGACACCGATTAGGGAGTTCTAGTGTTTTGGCGCATGCGATCTGGTCTTCGAACGGAATTCCGTGATGACAGATCCTTACAAGCAGAAGGTGCTAAGCACAGATTTAAAAAGGTATCAGATTCAGCAGGAGCACGCAGAGTCACCATTTGCACTGTAATTACTTGGGTGGCTAAAAATGCTATAGATCGACGATGAAATTGCCAGTAGGTGCGATAACGGTGCCCAATCAAACGAAGAACACGATCGGGGCGAGAGTCATTCGATAGCTGCAGTTCAAGGTTCCAGAACTTATGAATATTGGACGGGAACTTTGTTTGGTTAGCGCTAACCACGACAGGGTTGAGGGAGTCCTGCGATAGGCTAATGCTTCGATGTAAAACTGAGCAAAGAAAATCCGAGGACGATGAAGGGCGAGCATGTTGTCACTAGGAGCTCGTGTTCGGGCGAAATATGAATCCCAGGGGTCGGTGAGGGATGAATGACGCAATGTGACGAGACACACGGTCATCTAGCTCGTTATTGGGAGGGGCTTTCTCCTCGCTCGCAAAACCAGCCTTGCATGCGGTGTAACAGGAACAACACAGTGGTGTTCTCCGGCCCGAGACGCATTGGAGCGTAGAATGGTTGCGTTGACTATGGGCTTCCATGGTGTGTCCTGCTGGAGCCATGGCGGGTTCAACCGAAACACATGATCGGCATTCATGCCGACACTCCACGAGACTCTCGGGACCCTGACATCTACTAGCTTGGCCTAGCTGCCACTCGCTCGGCTGCAATGGCCTCTGTGTTATATTTACTGCTTGCTTCATTGCCCTTTCTTCCAATGATAATGCCAAGTTTGCTGTGTGCGGGTTCACGCAACTGCGGCCCTGCCTTCAATTTCAAGCCACCTCGGAATTTCTGCGCTTATCCGGTGAACTTCGGAACAGTAAAGTCTGTGGAGAGAGCAAGTCAACGTTGCAATTTCCAATCTGAGTGAATCTTACAATAGTACTGCCCCTTCAAGTGATTCATTTCATACGCATCATGTGCGCGTGGCGACTGAGGTATTCCCCATTCACTCCTCCACGCGGGCATCCCCCTCATCACTTGCTACGCCAGCGCAATGTCTAGAAAAAATCCGTTCAAAATCCTCCCCCAACGTAGTAAAGGAAGTGATTCCGCTTCCGGCTCATCTTCACAACCGCCGCTCTCCTCGACCTCCTCCGAGTCATCCCATGTTCCCCAGATCAATATCACTGGTCCCCAGGTGCCCCGAGATCACGAAAACACTCACAGCGATCGACACGGGTTGCCGACGGAGTCTTATCCTGAGCTCACAGTGACCGGCCAGGCCATGCCTTCTATGAACAGAGATTCGAAGAAATCGGGGTCTCTTATGGGACGTGTATTCGGGAGGGCCCGTAGGAAATTGAGTCCTAACCGCAGCAGGCCTAGTACTCCCAATCTCGTTGAACCATCCACGCTAGCCACGCCACTCCAGCCGTCCGCCAGTGATGCAGTACTTCCTTCATTTCCCTCCGCCCGCGGGGAAAATATTGATAATCTTCGTGAAACATCTGGCTCGTATGTCACACACGACACCGGCCTGAGCGTTCATGCACAATTGGAACGCACAGGTATCAACGTGCCCTCCTTATCAGAACCCACGATCACACGATCGGCCAGCTCAGGCAGCGATCGAAAGGATGTAATCATCGGCGCTACTAGACTCATTCTCCAAAATGCGGCTTCCGCCCTTAAGTTTGCCCCGATTCCGAATCTTGATGCAATCCCGGACTTGCTTTTGAAGTGGCTCGATGTCTACGAGGTGAGATCATCTTTCCGTTTCTGGGATCGATGAGGATATTTTGTTCACTCTCCCAATGTTTGTGTGGCATGATTTGCACAGACCGTTGGTGGAAACGACGAAAGTCTTAAAGGATTGGACGATGACATCCTAAAGGCCTACGACACCGTTTTGGAGCCACTCGCGCTATCGACTGACCCTATACCCGATGAAGTCGTTGTTTTAATTAAGCGGTTCCACTCGTGCGTCCACCTGGCTCCTTTGCCACGCGTTTGATTCAATATTCCTGCTGACAGGGCCCTGGAAGTACAAAGACAAAGGATCGACGCACTCAACAATCAAGGTTCCGTGAAGAGGACGATCTTAGCACCCGAAATCAGCATGAGGATAAGTGATGTGAAGGCGTGCATAAATGATGCTGTTAACAACTTCTCGGTCCGTTCCCATAGGGCTCCCAAGTGCTCTATGTACTGACTGAGTATGTAACAACAGACCCAGACAGGTACTTTGACGCTGCTTCTTACAATCAAAGCATCGGTGCGATGTACGTTTCCAAACTCATTCTTGGGGTTTTTCGTCAACTCTTCCTTTTAGCTGAACTTAAACGACTTGGGGAAGTCGCGGCCGAGCACAACTACGTGACAAGCAAGTCAGAATGCCTTCCAAGCACACGGGACAGCATGCGGGAATCGATTCTCAATCACCTCAAAGATGCTAAGAATCAGTTTGTCTGGGTTCGCGGATCACCCGGGACCGGAAAGACGGCGATCAGTTTGAGTATCGCATCCACACTCAAGGCCGAAGGCACTCTTGCAGCCTCCTTCTTTTGGGACAAAAACCAAAAGGGAACAGGCTTAGATTCTTTGGGGCAGTTCCCTTCTACCCTTGCTCGCCAACTTGCGCTCTTTAGTGCGAACTTCAAGGTATCACTCGTCAAATGTCTTCGGCGGCCAGAAATGGGATTGTTCCTGAAGCTTCCCCTGGAGGAGCAGATGCGGGCTCTGATCATTGAGCCGATGAGTGGTCTCAAGGATGTGTTTTCCGGTGGTGACAAACGCTTTGCTATCATCCTAGATGGCTTGGATGAGTGCGGGGGTCCAGAGGAGCTTGACTCCCTAATGAAGCTCATGCTTCTACTTCGCGAGCTGCCTTCGCCTTTTGCCGTGCTCTTTAGCTGTCGGCCGGAGTCTACAGTCGTTTCGGCTTGGACTAAAGCGCAAGATCAGGGTCTTGTGATCCCCTGTGAAGATGTGAATCAAATTGAACGGGACACTTTCCACACCATCCGTTGCATGGTGGACGAAGGATTTCACGATTTTATCAAGGACTCCCTGGCATGGGAACCATCTGATGAAGATCTTGATGTCTTTGCGACAGGCTGCCGTGGATTGCCTATTATGGCTTCAACTCGAATACGTGAAGCACGGTCCCAGATTCAGTACTACGGTTCTTCTCTTAAATCGGAGTTTGAATATTTCCGTAATCTTAACGAAGTACCTATGGATCTGAAGTCGGAGTACTTGCGAATAATGCGACGAGCCTACATGCGGAGTTCATCCGGTATTCGTCCACATGTGGCCAAGAACTATCGCGAAGTAGTCGGCATACTTGTTGCCGCAAGCTGGAGTGATCTTGGCACTGACGACATGTCACAACTGCTAGGAATTGCCGAGGATGAAGTACGCTCAACACTAAAACCCATCAGCTCGATCGTCGATCTTCCTTCAGACAACGAGCAGACTGTCAAGTTCTACCATGCAACGGCAAAGGAGTTCATTACAGGAAATCCCATCGGCGAGAAACAAGATGAAGTATTTTTTATTCATGATGTCGAGGGGTATAGCATTGGATTACGACTTGTTCGATTTGTAAATGATGTCATTCAGAAGAACGAGTTTGGCATTCCCACCAAACTTCCTTTGGGAGACAGAAGGAAGTGGGAGCTCTTTCAGAGCAAGCAGAAACCTAGAGTTGTCAGAAATGTGCTCGGGCACTTGTTCTCTCACTTGGACCCTTCACTGCTCTTTTCACAAGAATCTAATGAATTGCAAAGAGAGTTTGAACAATTCCTTTCAAATAACTTACTCTCATTCTTCTCATGGCCCCAGGACAGATGGGCGGCGTCAAGGACAATTCCTTTATTGGAGGAATGGAAGTCGAGTGTACATGTGGGTTCTAAATCAATTGTGTTTCATGTATTTCAATTATATGACATCATTCTTTGCGTTGCAGAACCACAAATCAGTGGCGCTGGTAGAGGAGGCATTCGAGCTTACATCGGATCACCCCAATCCTTGGGATGTTTATCGATCAGGCCTTCCATTCACTCCGTCGTCATCACCCCTCCATGAATTCTATGGCCATATCTCAGATCCTGTTCGAGTCTTCAGTGTATCCGGCGAGTTTTCCGGTGCCTTGATTCCTTTGAGCGAGGATGCACGTGTGGCTCAAAGGGTCATGATGTCAAAACTGGTTGAACTGCCAATGGCGTTCGATGAACATGGCTGGGAAAAAACTAATTACGAAGCCGAGTTCGCTGAACATGATGTTCGCAACGGAATCGTGACCTGTGCAGCAATTTCTCAAAATGGTTCTCATGTTGCCCTTGGCTTTGGAAACGGGGCCATTGAGGTTGCTGACATCCACCATCAGCGAATAATTTCTCGATTCCAATGCAATCCTCCCAAACCTCCGGTTTGGATCGAGTTTATCCACGGTGACAACGTTCAGATTGCCACTGAGGATACTGATGGAAACATCACTATTCTCGGTCCTGGAACAAGTATGGCGAAGCTTGGCACTCTCTCCAGTGGTTGTTTCCCTGCTGTGACTGCGGTGTCGAACGATGGATCTTTCATCATACGAGTCCCACACAATCTCGGCCAGGCTTGGTACGAGAACATGGCACTCATATGTTTTTCGGGCAAACCATCCGTTCAGCTCCTTGCATCCCCTCCTTCCCCTTCTCAGTCTCCCCAATCCCACTCTGGTCTATCCATCCCTCAACGTCACACAGTTCGATTCTCTCCAGGGGGCCGATATGTCGGTGCTTACGATACAAAGTGTGCATTCGTCTGGTCAACAGATTCACACAACTTGTGCATTGCTCAATATCGCGTGCAGAATTTCAAGACTTGGATTTTCAACACTGGTCTTGAACCCCCTTGCCTGCATGACATCCCTATGCCTGTGCTTCGTAACCCCACGTTCCCTTTGATTCCGCAAAATGGTGCAAGTCATCCACGGAGTACTGAGACAGATTTAGGACACGATGCGGAAGAATCCTGGTTGAAGCGCCCTTTTTACGACCTCTCACCCAGCATAAAAAGTAGCAGGGACCGCGCTATTAAAGTCTATTCCTCCGCAATGGGAAGGATCCCATTAACTGCTACCACCGGACGCATTTGGTTCAATGGGGAAGACGAGCTTGTTGTCCCATGGTACTACAGACTAATCGGGCGGGCCGGGAATTCTTTCAGTGAGAAAGAAGCCTGGTACGGTGATGCGATACTCGAGGATGTTGATGGTTGGATAGACTCGCACAGCGTATATTTTCCTCGGGCAAGCAAGGATGGAACTCGATTCCTGCTCCAGGGCGGGCTGGAAGCCCCAGTGGTCATTGATATTAGCCAAGTCGTTTAGTGCATCCAGTACGTGTCCGATAATTTCTCTAGTTCCTCCACCACTGTTTTCACTTTTCGATGCATTGGATCGGGAATTATACGACCTTTCTGTGATTATATGTACGTTTAATATTGATGTCATTTTCAAGCTTCTAGCATCCTGTTTGTGAAATGAATGGAATTTAAGAGGATATTGATCAAAGAGCTCTAGCGTTTTGGTGGAATGGAATTCCGCAGTCTTTCTGGACAGAACCTCAGTACTACTAGAACATGGCGCGGCAAATTGGCCTCAAATAAAAGATATATAAATGGGTGCCAGGAAGCAGAAACGACATGTACATGCGGGAGATACAAGCATACACGAGAGGACAGAGCATTGGAGGTTTGTCGTATTCCCATGGAGGACTTCGGAAACATTCCACCCATCAACAATGATGTATGAACTGACCTCTCAGACTTGAATTCGGAGCATGAATAGGATGGCCTAAGCTAAAATTTGCGACTCGACACCGATTGCCCCACCGAGTTGAACTTCCAGTGAGAGCTGCAAGCGGATCCGGATTCCTGAAGTGATTGCATTCCTTGCCCCAGTTGTCTTAGTAACTCGTGGGGGGAGCTGTTATACAGATGTTGCCAGTGATGGCTGAATGGGTCGCAGGATGTAGATCCAGCTGACACTCTAGTTCCGACGGAAGGAAGCAACATCTAGTACTTTGGTGCCACGTACCATGCTCCATTATTGTACCCACAAGTTCCGGCTACGTCAGATATAGCTCACAGCTGAGAGTTGCGTATTCAACCAGCGCCTGTCCACTGTGTCCAGGAAACCCCAACCTTCGAGGGTGCAGTGTAGCATGTCTTTTTCCCCGGAAAAGTCAACATGCAGAGTCTCTTGCAGAAGTACCGCTCCAAACCCATTGGCCCGGCCACAACAGCCAACGGAAATTCTTACCATTATGACTTTGTCGTTCTAGTGTCGTCGGTGGCTCCTATTCAGTTCTCTCGACCTAAATAACGAACAACAAGTTCAACGCTCCAACAGGGCTCATCAAGAGTGCGTTAGCTACTTCTACGCCGTTAGGGCAATACGTGTCCAATGGAGTGAATGGCACCCAGCAGGCAACGGAAGACATACCACTAACAACTGATGGAGTAAGCCCTCCCCCATCTGAGACAGGAGAGAGTGCGTCTCCCGCTTTTGCAGACTCGTACCATGGACTCCTAGTGGAACCCTTCCTACCAGAAGCTGCTGAAATTCTGATGGCTCCAATTGACCCTCTTGACATTGAAATGAAACCAGGTGCGGGCCGTTTCTCAAGAAGTTACGACTTCAGCGAGCGAATGGTTCATGTCGTTCTGTAGACAGCCTCATTTACCTTTTTGAAATTAAATGTCAAATAAACTCTTCGGTCCCGGAGGTTGGGGTCTGACGTCGGCCCAAAGGTGGTCAGTCGCGAATATGCTCTTTTGTGCTCAAGAAGGTATGCACAAGCCTAAATAACTCCTTGCATTGGAATTGTCTCAGGCTAGTAGCGGTTGCGCGAGGCGAGCAAGAATAATGGCGTTCCCGCCGCCATAGAGGCTTACAAGAGCAACACACTTATGCGCCGTTGCAAAGATCTAGGGTGGCGAGCAAACTTTGGTGAATGGTCCACTCATGACCAAAATTGCGGATGTGTGGAAGTTTTTGTGGAGCATGGCCCGACAAAGCGGAAGTGAGTCTACCATTTCCCCACTTCCACCTAGACCACTAACTTACGAACGTTCAATGGTGCTCACAATCTTGCTGTTCAAGCCAGGGATGCGGATAACATTCTTTGGAGTCGCATCGATTATTTGGACGTCACTGACATCACAACTCGATGGGTTATTTAGAAGTAGGGATCTCTATTTAATTTTATCCCGCCGTCGCTCACGCCTTCACCAATACAGGGCACCAGCCCAGTCATTTCGGCTTGACGGTCCGATTCTTCAAAATCGGGGCTCTTTCGCGGGTGGAAAGCGTGCCACTTTACCATTAGTCTGGCAGCTAACTGCTCCCTGGCCGGGCCATGGAGCCCCCCGGGGGGTTGATGAGTTGCTCTCTTCCTGTGTTCTGCTTCATATTCGCGAATACGATTAACAAAAGTATCCCTGACCAACAAAAGTAGTGCTGTCTTCCTTGCTAAATACGCAATGGTATCTACCGTAAATTTCACCTACCTAAATTTGGTGCCCGTTGCTCCTAGTGACTGCGACGACTGCATCTGCTCTCATCCAGTTCCTGCATGCTAATGACGCGCTGAAGAAGTGAAAGCACGAAGGAAGATTGCTTCCATTGTTACTGTTGCGAAGGAGAAAAACAAGAGGAGGATGCCCAAGATCCGAAAGGGAAGACTAGCGTGGTGAAGACCAACAACCCCCTGACGAAGAGGAAGGGGAGGAAGTAAAGATTCAATGCCGATTCCCTTCTGCACACCGGTCCGGTGCTACTGGGATATTGTTTTGTATCTAGTGTACACATATGTGAGTGTGCCTAGCTTTTGTGTGTATCGCTCGGTGTTATGACACATTTTGGGGAATTTCCTTTATCGGCATCTCAGTATCTTCCCGAAGTTTTTTACGGATAAGCTGGTGCAGGTCAAATTGCATAAGTGTTGAACGCACAACAGGATCCCGGTATGCTACAACTGAACCGACGACAGCGTCCTTGGAATCATTATATTCCTCTGCTTGCCTGTTCGGTTCGTGCGTAACATTTTGCTCAACTTGTTTGGCCCCTGTTGCTTGGTGAAGGATCAAAAGCATGTGCGAGTGTTGGCTGGCCCACAGTCGCAACCAATGGGGTCCTTTCATCTTGACGAGCCTTTTGTTGAGGCTTTGAAATCCTTGCTTGCTCGGGTGCCTCAAGTGCTTCTGGTGAACTACGTCTGCACGGCCTACGCTACATGTCTCGCTGCCCTTGCCAAGGTCTCGGTCTCGCCATGGTATGAGAGCTATAGGATGTTTCCTTGCTGCTGGTAATGCGGCTCTTGCGGCGGCACATACCCTTTCTTAGTCCCATCCGGTTGTTGCAGGGTCTCGGCCATGACAGTGTTAGCCACATGTATTTAGATTTTATGGTGGCCTCGTTCCACAGCTGTCAAAGTCGTTGCTTTGTTGTGGAGCATTTGGCAGATCCCAGCTGATTGTGCGGTGGCATAAAAACTAGGCTGAGCTGACACTTGGTGACTTTTCCCATTTCTTGGAGTGTACGAGTATGGACGCTGACAAGCAACCGCTCCAAGTAGGCATTTTTCACTTCTTGTTTATGCCTCTCTGACTGGTGATAGCAGGAAAACCTGGTGGGTGTCCCGTTGGCATGTCCTGCGCCCGTATGGCCAATAGGCATTCAACATGCGCTGGTACTGACACCTGGATTTTCAGTCGTGCTCACACGGAAGTGGCAAGAGGTCGTCAATGAGTTCCTAGATCACGACAGATCCATCCTCCATAGCTGGCTGGGTGCACTGAATAGGTAGCTCGGCTACTCTCCAATGTCACTTCCACGGACGTCGGCTCTGAAGTTGGCGTTTCGGGAGGCGATTTCACCCATTGACTACCGCCATCGTAGTGAAACCCTTATGGTATTCTTCCCTCAGCATTACACTCAGCTCTACTGATATCTTGATGCTCGCTAAATAATGGCCGGAGACATCAGGAATGAGTTTGAAGTTCTTGAACTAAAGGGGACAAACACCAAGCATCTCTTGTGGCATATCGGAGCGCAGGGCTGTCACGGTGGGTTGTTCCTGGAATCATCGGGGGGCTTCCTATTTCATTGCACATCGCGCTGCTTCTCTTCGCAGGTGGACTCATTGGTTACCTCTGGAAAGTGGATCGAGATATTTCGACACTTGGCATTGTTTGCACCGTGCTCGAGGTATGCCCGCAACGTCACTAGTTCCCAAGCTGCCCATACAGAACTCCCATCTCTCATCTCTTTTCGAACATCGAAGGTGCGGTCCTAGTCTTTAGTGTACCGAAGTGGAGACTTTTAGGGATTCTTCCTTCGTTGAACGACACGATATTACTCCTTCCATCGATATTATCTCACACACTTCGTGCAAGGTGAACGCCGCCGTGTATGGGACAGCCTGTCGTTGTATCACAAGGAAGGATACCAGGCAGAGCAAAATGTGGAGTATTGGCAAATCGAGTTTCTCACACTGTTCAAGGAAAGGACAAGACGTCCAGCGATGCGCGAATGGGCCTTGAAGACCGGAGGCATAATTTGGAGCTTCAAACCACCACACTCCAAGACCACTCAATCTTCACTCGTACCTAATGTCGCGGTTACAAGTGCATGATAAGCATCCCGTCCAGAGCGCTTGGCATATTCGGGGTGACTTGGCGATGGGCTACTCAGACACTACACACTCGGGGGACCGGCAATATCCACAGGATCCAGGACTAATCTTCGACACCCGCCTCTTGTATAAATGGATGCACCTAATATTACTTGGAATCCGGCTGTGGGATAATGTTTTTCTTCTTTTTATAGGCTTCACGGCACCACCTGTCCTCAGCTGAACTAGTTAGTATCTCCTTTCAGCGTCATTTTTTTATAACCTGTACATCACCTTCGATCCCTTTGGCCACCTGTATATTATAGAGACTGAAGTTTCAGCCTAGCGCAGCCTTGCTATATGATCGCGTAATACAGGTGTCGACAACGGCATTATATAGGGCTAGCATACCATACAGCAAAGGTGCAAGAGATCAGGCTATTGACTCCCTAATATACTCATGAGTGTGTGGCCGTATTTCCCTCGGCTCCGAACCCAACGTACTCCCAAAGCCTCAGCCTCTCGCCACGACTCCTGTTGCTCTGGCCACTTATCTATTGTATTCCGACCTACGATACTTATATTACTATGTCTCCTTCCGCGTTGAAATGCGGGTCACCTTCAGAATTGAGGAGTAAGTGCGAGTTTGCAGGATTCTTCTCAGCAACTCAGCTAAACAGTGCAAGGTGGATTATATCTAACCTGGTGGGGTTGAGTACGTCCCACGGTCCACTGGCACCATGCGCTATTTTTCGATGCTCGCTAAGCCCAGAGCTTAATTGTAACTGATGGATGTCCTTTTGGTTGCAGCTGCTATTCTCAAGATCAACGATGTTTTAATCAAGACGCTAGCATTATTTAACCCTGAACACTTCCGGCCTAGCATCTCCATCGCCGGTTTGCGACGACACTCCGTTTCAGCTCAGAACCCCCCGAATTCTGCCTTCGCGGGCATTTATCGTTACGGTCGGAGGTGCGCAAGTCCTGTGGCTGCGCAATCGACAAGAACTCGGGCTTTGTTGAGCGAATGTTCAATACGTATCATCCTTGGACTTTATTAGCATGAACCCATCGGATAGCATAGCTCGTCGTGTCGACCTAAGCGCCCACCTCAGTCTCTGAAAGAGGGAAAGTGGGAAGTGTGTAAACAACAGGTAACTTTCAGAGGTTCCAATTTCGTGAATCTAAACAGCACTACTTGATTAGGCATAGTCTTATCGGACAATCAATCTCCTTCCCTATACAGGCATTCTCATATACATCCCATACGCGCGGGGATTGGACTGGCTTCTGTTCACTCTCCTACGTAGCCTCAGGCCCTATCGACAACTAGTGCAATGTTTGGGAAAGCCGGTGCCTCCCTTCAACGCCCCAGTGCTCCTGGAACGTCTTCCAGTCTTTCGAAATCCCCACTCCCGCTTGTCCCCCTATCCAGCGCTCCGCAGGCCCACACCACTAGCCCCCAAATACCCCCACATCCCGACAACATCCACCATGGTCAACATGAAGAGCCAACGGGACCGTTGACCGCTCAGAATGTACCCCCTGGTGACCGTGGCGGTCTAAACAAATGGGCATCTTTCTTAAAACGTGTATTTGGGTGGATCCGCAGAAAGCTAAGCCTTGGTCGCAGTAGGCTCAGCGCCCAAGATCCGACCGAACCAGCCAGGCCAACCACGCCTCCCCAACTGCCACCCGGCAATGCAGTACCACCCGAATCCTCCGTCACCTCGGGAGGAAATATTGATAATCCTCGTGAACCACCCACAACGCACACCAATCGCGAGAACGGCCTGAGCATCGACGCACAATTGGAGCTCGAGGGCATCAATGTACCTCGCTCATCAGGACCCACGGTCACGTCATCGGACAGTCCAGACAGTAATCGAAAGGAAGTAACCATCGGCGCTACTAGATTCATTCTCCAAAATGCAGCCTCCGCGCTTAAGTTTGCTCCGATTCCGAATCTTGATGCAATCCCAGACTTGCTTTTGAAGTGGCTCGACGTCTACGAGGTGTGTTTATCTTTCCATTTCTGGGATCGATGAGGATATTTTGTTCACTCTCCCAATGTTTGTGTGGCATGATTTGCACAGACCGTCGGTGGAAACGACGAAAGTCTTAAAGGATTGGGCGATGATATCTTAAAGGCCTACGACACCGTTTTGGAGCCACTCGCGCTGTCGACCGACCCTATACCCGATGAAGTAGTTGTTTTAATTAGGCGGTTCCACTCGTGCGTCCACTTGGCTCCTTTGCTACGCGTTTGATTCAATATTCCTACTGACAGGGCCCTGGAAGAACAAAAACAAGGGATCGACGCCCTCAACAATCAAGGTTCTGTGAAGAGGACGATCTTAGCACCCGAAATCAGCACGAGGATAAGTGATGTGAAGGCGTGCATAAATGATGCTGTTAACAACTTCTCGGTCCGTTCCCATAGGGCTCCCAAGTGCTCCATGTACTGACCGAGTATGTGACAACAGACCCAGACAGGTACTTTAACGCTGCTTCTTACAATCAAAGCATCGGTGCGATGTACGTTTCCAAACTCATTCTTGGGGTTTTTCGTCAACTCTTCCCTTTAGCTGAACTTAAACGACTTGGGGAAGTCGCGGCCGAGCACAACTACGTGACAAGCAAGTCAGAATGCCTTCCAAGCACACGGGACAGCATGCGGGAATCGATTCTCAATCACCTCAAAGATGCTAAGAATCAGTTTGTCTGGGTTCGCGGATCACCCGGGACCGGAAAGACGGCGATCAGTTTGAGTATCGCATCCACACTCAAGGCCGAAGGCACTCTTGCAGCCTCCTTCTTTTGGGACAAAAACCAAAAGGGAACAGGCTTAGATTCTTTGGGACAGTTCCCTTCTACCCTTGCTCGCCAACTTGCGCTCTTCAGTGCGAACTTCAAGGTATCACTCGTCAAATGTCTTCGGCGGCCAGAAATGGGATTGTTCCTGAAGCTTCCCCTGGAGGAGCAGATGCGGGCTCTGATCATTGAGCCGATGAGTGGTCTCAAGGATGTGTTTTCCGGTGGTGACAAACGCTTTGCTATCATCCTAGATGGCTTGGATGAGTGCGGGGGTCCAGAGGAGCTTGACTCCCTAATGAAGCTCATGCTTCTACTTCGCGAGCTGCCTTCGCCTTTTTCCGTGCTCTTTAGCTGTCGGCCGGAGTCTACAGTCGTTTCGGCTTGGACTAAAGCGCAAGATCAGGGTCTTGTGATCCCCTGTGAAGATGTGAATCAAATTGAACTGGACACTTTCCACACCATCCGTTGCATGGTGGGCGAAGGATTTTCCGATTTTATCAAGGACTCGGGATGGAAACCATCTGATGAAGATCTTGATGTCTTTGCGAGAGGTTGCCGTGGATTGCCTATTATGGCTTCAACCCGAATACGTGAAGTGCAGTCCCAGATTCGGTACTACGGTTCTTCTCTTAAAACAGAGTTTGCATATTTCCGTAATCTTAATGAAGTGCCTATGGATCTGAAGTCGGAGTACTTGCGAATCATGCGACGAGCCTACATGCGGAATTCCTCCAGTATTCGTGAACAGGTGGCCAAGAACTATCGCGAAGTAGTCGGGATACTTGTTGCCGCAAGCTGGAGTAATCTCGGCACTGACGACATATCACAACTCCTAGGAATTGACGAGTATGAAGTACGCTTAACACTAAGTCCCATCAGCTCGATCGTCGATCTTCCTTCAGACAACAAGCAGACTGTCAAGTTCTACCATGCGACGGCAAAGGAGTTCATTACAGGAGATCCTATCGGCAAGAAAAAAGACAAAGTATTTTTTATTCATGATGACAAGGGGTATAGCATTGGATTACGACTTCTTCGATTTGTCAATGATGTCATTCAGAAGAATGAGTTTGGCATCCCCACCGAACTCCCTTTGGGAGATAGAAAGAAGTGGGAGCTCTTTCAGAGCAAGCAGAAACCTAGAGTTGTCGAAAATGTGCTCGGGCACTTGTTCTCTCACTTGGATCCTTCGCTGCTCTTTGCACAAGAATCTAATGAATTGCAAGGAGAATTCAAACAGTTTCTTACAAGAAACTTCCTCTCATCCTTGTCATGGAATGATGGTCGAGAGGGTTTTCAACAACCTCGGACCTCACGCTTACTCTCAGAATGGAGGTTGAATGCACATGTGGGTTCTAAATCAATTGTTTTTCGGTGATATGACATCATTCTTCACGTTACAGAATCACAAATTAATGGTGCTGGTAGAGGAGGCAGACAGTTTTATAGATAGGTTGTTTGCCATCCCCGATCCTTGGGATCATTATCGATCAAGCCTTCCATTCACTCCGTCGTCATCACCCCTCTATGAATTCTATGGCCATCTCTCAGATCCCGTTCAAGTCTTCAGTGTATCCGGCAAGTTTTCCGGTAGCTTGAGTGAGGATAGACGTGTGGGTCAAGAGCTCTTGAGAGCAAAACTGCCGAAGATTTTGGATAAATATGACGTGGCCTGTGCGGCAATATCCCAAGATGGTCGTCAAGTCGCCCTTGCCTTTGGAAGCGGGGTCATTGAGGTTGCCGACATTGACCATCAGCGTATAATTTCTAGATTCCAATGCAGTCCTCCCAAGCCTCCGGTCTGGATCGAGTTTATCCACAGTGGCAATGCCCAGATTGCCACTGAGGATGCTGACGGACACATCACTATTCTTGGTCTCGGAACAAGTTTGGTGAAGCTTGGCACTCTCCCCAGTGGTTATTTCCCTGCTGTAACTGCGGTGTCGAACGATGGATCTTTCATCATACGAGTCCCACAAATCCTTGGCCAGACTTGGTACGAGAACATGGCCCTCATATCTTTTTCGGGCAAACCATCCGTTCAGCTCCTTGCATCCCCTCCTACTCCTTCCCCTTCTCAGTCTCCCCAATCCCACTCTGGTCCATCCATCACGAGGCCGCGGGGTAATAAGAGAGATTTATCATCATCATCATCTGGTCTATCCATCCCTCAACGTCACACAGTTCGATTCTCTCCAGGGGGCCGATATGTCGGTGCTTACGACACAAACCATGCGTTCATTTGGTCAACAGATTCATACAAGTGGATTGCTCAATATCGCGTGCAAAATTTCAAGACTTGGATTTTCAACACTGGTCTTGAACCCCCTTACCCGCATGACATTCCTATGCCTGTACTTCGTAACCCCCTCCTGCCTTTGATTCCAGAAGATGGTGCAACTCGTCCACCAAGTACCGAGCCAGATTTAGGGCATGATGCGGATGAATCTTGGTCGAAGCGCCCTTTTTACGACCTCTCACCCGGCATAGAAACCAGCAAATACTCTGTTATGAAGGTCTATTCTTCCACAATGGGAAGGATACCATTATTACATACAGACGGCAAGTCCATTTGGTTCAATGGGGAAACGGAACTCCATGTCCCATTCCACTACGCCCCACCCCGCTGGACCCTGACCGCACAATCCGGAAATTCTTTCGGTGAGGAGGGAGCCTGGTACGGCGATGTGATGCTCGAAGGTGATGTTATGGATTGGGACATCATATATTTTCCTCGGGCGAGCAAGGGTGGAACTCGATTCCTGCTCCAGGGCCTGCTGAAAGCCCCAGTGGTCGTCGATATTAGCCAAGTCGTTTAGTGCGTCTCCAATCATTCCTCTGGTTCCTCTAGCAGTGTGTTCCCTTTTCAATGCATTGGATCGGGACTTATTGTAATTATATGTACGTTTAATATTGATCTCATTTTCAAAGTTTTACAAGCTTCTGGCATCCTGTTCGTAAAATGATAGAATATCGATCAAAGAGCTCTAGCGTTTTGGTGGGATGAAATTCCGCAGTCATTGTGGACAAAACCTCAGTACTAAAACATACTAACGGCGCGGCATATTGCCCCCAAATAAAAGATATAGGAACGTATGCCAAGCAGCAGAAACGACACATGCGAGAGATATAAGTATACACGACGGACAGAGCATTGGAGGTTTGTCCTATTCCCTTGAAGAACTTCGGAAACACTAACGATCATCATGAACTATGAACCGATGCCTCGCACTTGGATTCGGAGCGCGAATAGGATGACCTAAGGGATCATGCATGCGAAAATCTTCGGCTCGACACCGTTCACCCCACTGGCTAGTGAGAGGGCTGCAAGGCGGATCCGGATTCCTGAAGTATTTGCATTCCTTTCTCAATTGCTGGCAGTTGAAACTGTGGAATAGACCGGGTTACATTTGGCTCCAACCAACACCGCCGGGTTGGTGCTCAAGCCTTATTCCGCTCCTAGTGCATCTCGCTCCTCCCGATTTCCCCGCATCGATATCACGAATCCTCGGATCACGACAAACCCTGCAATCAACACGGAGTGCTAACTGCTCAGACTGCATCTTCTCAGCTTTCCAGATCATTCGAACGACGTTCTACGGCGGTGAGGTGATGGCTTACTTATAGAATAAGCGTATTGATGGCTATGGTAATGGAGGACAGAGATACGATGTTGCCACAGTTAATCTTGGCGACATCCGCCAGGTTAGGAACTTGGAGATGGTTCCTCGCTCTGGGCGTGAGGGTTTCGAGCATTGCCTCCGTCAATTTGACTAGCTCGTCGGCCGTAAATAGTGGGCCGTTAGAGGCGTGCTGTCTGGGGATTGACGGGGGGTGCGGTTATAGGTGGCAGTGTTGACCTGGTTGTGGAGACGGGAGCGTTGCGCGAGGAACATTTGGGGGCACGTCTCGGGAGGCAGGACGGTTGAATCTAGAGGCGGCATCCTCAGTCTCTCCAGTTTTTGGTATTCTTGCTACCGAGCTTGTGCAGTGGGGTGGTCCTGGGTGGAATTGGTCCAAAATTGCAGCTTGAAGTCTTCCCATAGTTGTGGGAAGGGGAAGGGGAGTGGCCGTAGACGTGCTGATAAGACTAGGGAAAGCCTGCCTCTCGTGAGACGATCACGAACATGCCGCGTACAATGCTCCAGTATTGTGCCCACAAATTGCGGCTTCGTGAGATACAGCTTAGCTGAGAGTTGGGTATTCAACCAGCGCCTGTCCAGGATACCCCGAATTAAGGCGTCTGCTCCCTGTAGGGTAGTCTGAGCCTGAGCCATAGCCGGGTACCGTAAAGCAATCGATGGAAGGTTTAGGTTGTGCTTTGCGAGCCAAGCATGTAGGAAAAACTCTGGCTTTTCTCCAGGAAAGTCAACATGCAGAGTCTCTGATGTTGCATCGGCAGAAGCACCGCTCCGAACTCATTGGCTCAGCCGCAACAGCCAACGTAAGTTCTTACCGTTATGACTTGGTAGGTCGTGGCTCCCATTCAGTTCCCTCGACCTAAACAATGAACAATAGCTCCGCAATGGCAGGACGGGGCTCGGTCAAAAGTGCACTGCGCTTGTTCTACACGCCTGCCATTTCAAGGACAGTGCGTGTTCGAGCTGCACGAGCTCGCCCTGCAAGCGTTAGCTACCACCTATCTACGCCGTTAAGGCAATACGTGTCCAATGGAGTGAATGGCGCGAATGGCACCCAGGCAACGGGAGACGTATCACCAACAACCGATGGAGTAAGCCCTCCCCCATCTGAGACGAACGCCACAGGAGAAAGCGCGTCTCCCGCTTTTTCAGACTCGTTGCCTGCTCCTGATGGGAATGGAACGAACTGGTCAACCTCCTACCATGGACTTTCGGTGGAACCCTTCCCGCCAGAAGCTGCTGAAATCCTGATGGCTCCAATTGATCCTCTTGACATCGAAATGAAGCCAGGTGCGAGCCGCTTCTCAAGAAGTTACGACTTCAGCGAGCGAATGGGTCACGTCGTTCCGTAGACGGTCTCATTTACCTTCCCGAAATTAAATATCGCCGAATATTAAATAAAGCTTTCGGACCTGGAGGTTGGGGTCTAGCTCCTCGCGGTCCAACTCACGTCGGCCCAAAGGTGGTTAGTCGCGAATATGCTCTCGTGTGCTTAGGAAGGTTCGCATAAGCCTAAATAGTTCCCAATAACTCCTTACATTGGGATTATCTCAGACTAGTAGCGGTTGCGCGAGGCGAGCAAGAATATTTCGATAAAAATGGCATCCCCACCGCCACAGAGGCTTGCAAAAGCAACGCACTTATGCGCTGTTGTAAAGATCTAGGGGTGGCGAGCGAACTTTGGTGAATGGTCCACTCATAACCAAAACTTCGGACGCTCACCCTAATTGTGATCTAGGGATCCTCGCTTCATCCGAGATTTCAAAGCAAAACATTGTGTTGAAGTTTTTGTGGAGCATATTCCGACAAAGCGGAAGTGAGTCTGCCATTCCCCTACTTTCATCCAGACCACTAACTCATCTGGTAGGAGGAAACTGTGGAGAAGAAGGGATGCGAAATTCGACTACCCGTACAAGGAATAAATGTTGGGACGGTACCTTTCCTCGACCTACAGTAACAAGTATAACGCGAATACAATTACGCCCAGATTGAAATAGGAAGAATTGGGTAGAGATATGTCTAAATCTTTAGCTCCATGTCCATTTCATCGTCATCATCCCCAACATCAAATATCGCTTCCCTCGGTGTTACATTATCATCATGAACGACCTTTGCCTTCCCCTTATTGAGCGGAACCCCCTGGCCGTTGACCTCTTGGGTGCTGACAGGGATATAGTCGTCTATCTCGCCTCCGATATTACGGCTGAGAGGTATCGATTCCTCTTCATCCCGCGCGAGAGCCACACCGGTCTTCGAACCGTTACGCCGTTTCATACGGAAGTAGAAGAAGAGTCCCAGTGCGAGAGCAATCAAAACTAGGACGAGTGCAGCAGAGCCTGCATTATAGTAGGCTAAATATTGCAAGATCGAGATCGAGTGAGTGACACGCCCTTGAATCTCATCCCTTCAACACGTACCTTGCCATAATGCCGGATCATCTTGCGATGGAAGCTTAACATGTTCGTCTCCGTCGCCTTTGTCCAGTGAAGGCTGGATGATTGGTTTAACAGTACCCCCTACCTCGCTCGGGATCGTCGCTGAGCCCTTGAGTAGTGATGTGAAGTCGACCCCCATGAACCTTAATATCATGTCATGTGCCACATGCGGGAGATCAAAGCCAACCATGTGAGAGGCGCCATAAACCTGCCATCATTGACGTCAAGAGTTCGACACTTTCAGGTGAACCATAACAATACTTACCTTCACATACGTCAGGTTTCTATCGGAAGTCCATTCTCCTACTTCTGTGCCATTAAACTTCCATGACTGAGGCTTTGTCGTGTTCTGCAAGGCGAATTTCAACCGGAAGTCAAAAAAGGGCTGATCCTCTCACTCACACTGAATCCCCTCGCCCCATTCCACGTCAAGGCTTCGATTAATCTCTCGGCACCGAGATAATTACAAATCAAATCCTGGTCGCCATGAAAAAGCAGAACAGGAATCCTCTCAAGAATCCCCGGCATAAGACGAATAGAGGGTGGTGACTTCTTCATATAGAGATTACTGCTGACGGTGCCACGACATTCTGTCCATCCCTCCGATGAGCCAGACGCGTGGAATGCGGTTTTGACATCATCACGATGCAAATAAGGCTTGATAAAAGTAAGGTCTGGGGGCCAGTTCATGCCGCAGGCTGGATACGTATCAGACAGTCGAATGTCATATATGTTTAAACATGTCGTTACTCCGTTGACACTGGTCGATGCATGACAGATTATTGCCATGATCAAGGCTAGAAATTCACTTGTAATACTCACGTCTGGTCAAGATGCCGAACCGTCGCTCCCATTACTAACTCACATTCACCATAGTTAGGAGTCGCTTGCTCAGTGCCATTCATTCGTTTTTTACACTGGTCAAGCGCCTGAAGCGCACGTTCGTACTCCTGGAAGTTTCAACCTGTCATCGACAAATACGATGCGATCAGGGTGAAGAAATAATCACCTTTGTCCCTGTTTTGAGAAGCTTTTCCTTTATAGCAAAGTCGACATATGCCGGATACTGTGAAAATGGATCAATCCAGCCATTTCCAATAGCAGCACCCCTAAGGCGGGTCGGAAGCCGAGCGGTTTTCAGTATGGCATCCGCTAAAGAACCCAGCATGTCAGGGCCTAGCATGGTGGATCAAGCTGGGAACCACTGACCAATATATGGAATGTATTGGCCAGCAAAACTCTCGCCAGCGAGGTATGTCTTGGATAGATTAATTAGTATAACATAAATGTGATGGGCCCCTTCACGCTCACATCCATATCTTTATATTCCGGGAACACTTCATACCAATTTTTAAGGAATTCAACGACGTGATTGGCGGCCTGGGGAATGAAATATTACAGCATTGAAGACACCGACCGACAGCCACTGCCTACTTCGTCAAGCTCGTGCACGTATTTGTTAGTGCTGGCATAGGAAAACCCAGTGCCGGGCGGTTGATCCACTGAGAGGTTGAGGCAAGGTCACCGCCATGCAGTTGAAGTCCAGGAAATGAACACATACAGTATAGAACATTAGCATATTCTTCCCAGCCGCCTTCTTTCTGCCGTAGTGAGTCCTTCTTATTCATTCTCCATGGACCTATTTCCATCATAAGTCCATCAAATGATGAACAACCCGGACCTCCCTAGAAAGAAGATTCAATACAAAAAATCATCATATCAGAGAACGTAACTTACATTGAACCATATTATTAGCCTCTCTCTATCGGCAATTCGTCGAGCCTTTGTTAACACAAAGAATATGTGTGCAGAGACCTCATTTGTGGGTTCAGGTTTAGCATTGGGATCAGAATTGAGGTTCCCTGCCCAAACATGCAATGAACTATTTGGATCTCTGGAAAGATTGGGGATATTTGGGACGTAAAAGCTCGCAGCAGAAAGAGGTTTGGATGGCTTTTGACGAGAATCAATAACTGTCGCGGAAACGCCAGTCAAGAGGACCAGAAGCGTAAGGCGAGTCCACATCGCGAAAAGGAGCGGAGTACCCAGTGAAGCTAAAATGACCAACTATTGGTCCCTAGCCAGATTCTGAGCAGTCTATGATGGCGAGCGTAGAGTGTGCACTGGCCACTTGGCCATCAATGCATGGGGTCACCTGACAATGATGGACTGAATTAAAATTTTTGACGCTTGGAGAATGCAAGCAAAATCATCGTTCTTTTTGGGCGAACCGTTGGCCCTTTCGACATTCGCACTACCTAGTGCCTCAAAAGCTGGCTATTCTTCACACGTTTTGGGCTCCTACACAAATGTTCCACGAAATGAAGACGGCTGGCTGACATTGACCTGTCAAGGCGACGGCGTTCATATAGTGGATGTAAGGACCAAGAATTCTCTCATCGTATTTGGAGGTGATGAGGAATATTCCTAGTTATCCACCAATCGGCGCTTTGCCTCCTTTACCCTTGGTCCCTCTACGACCTTTGCGTGCCCTTCCATCACAACTGTGGTGGAGGATCAAGGAATGTTATCAAGGACAACTTATGCGGTCGTCGAAACTTCCCCAAACATAGATTCAGACGGACGGGGTCGTACAATATGGATGTGGCAAGAAACCCATTCTGGAAAATCGCCCAACTTATCGGCTCCCAAACGAATCGACGCCACAGTGCGTTATCGTTTATTCTTCCACCCACATTTCCAGAAAACTGAGCCAATCTGACTTTAGGTAGAACATCGCATATGCTCAATGCATTATGTCCAATCTTCAAATTTATTCATACTCTTTTCGGATGAAAATGAGATTTTGACGGTTGACTCTGGATTCAAACGGTTATACGCCACCAAGCTAGAAATTGAAGACAGTTATGCGGTGTTGCAACGTTGGGTACTTCACGATGTCACATTCATAACATCGCCGGATGCTATGCAGAACTCCATAATTGCGCAGGCAATGCATAACCCTGATGGTCAACCTCTATTGCTGCTCTACTCCTGTGGTCCAGACGGATCACTCACATTTTTAGAGAAGTTACCAATCGATACTAATGCCAAGGTATCTCCTTTAATCGCAATATTGTGTTTGGTGACCCCCCCCCTTATTGTCGTCCACGTAGGAACTTGCGTACTGCACACTCTCACAATCTGGGGATTTCTCAGTGTTATGTAAGATACCTAGCGCCAAGGCCTCCTATTCCGCCTCACTGATTCATTGCTATTAGCCCGACAAGGACAATGGTATCACTATAGACTGCGCCTAGCCCACGATTCATGGAGCTTGACTCAATCCTCGACGCCATTCAGGCTGAAGTCACTTACCCTCTTCGGTTCAACATCAGCTTCTTCCCCAACCACACTTCTGTCCCTCACCGCCTCTCATGTTTTTCTTGCATCAGTTTCGTCCACCTCAGAACTCGTTTTGCAAATATGGGATCTCAAATATTCTCTGTTGATGAGCATTGCAACAGCGCCGATATCCGGTCTCAGCGGCGAGTGGCGGCTACGATTAATTGGTGCCTCTAAGTCCCAGGTTTTCCTCACGGTATCTCCTCCACTTGATGAAACGTCCAAACCTGCCGTGAAAGCTCGGCGTTCGACCGTCTTTTCCGTACCATACGCCGTTCCCCCCTTTTCGACAATCGCGAATGCTATCTGTCAATCCCAGAAAGTCGACCAAGCTCCATGGGCTTACTCCAATAGCACCGTCACACCTACATCTCCAGAGGCATCAGCCCAAAAAGCCGTGGCCACGAACCTACGCCACGTCATGCCTACCGCTTACGGTCCGTCTTCCTGGGCCCTGATACAAGAACAGTCCGAGGCCCGCCATCGCGATTTCGTTGATAAATTCACTTTGGCGCTCAATGATGAAAATTACAGTGGGGCCGCAGCAGCTTTCACAAGCTGGGAGAAAGATGACGCGGGGACAGGGGACGAAGTAGAAGGGTCCCACAAAGAAAAAATGGTATCGATTATAGCGTGGCAAATAGATCATGCTAGGGTGGCTCATTAGTTTTCTCCTAGCCCTACCAATTTGCCGCCACCTTTATCAAAGCGATCCTGAGCCTGCCCAGAATTAACAAGAAACTTTGGACGGTCACACAGACCCTCCTTTCCTCCCGTTCAGTGTTCAACAACATGCTACCTTCCGAGGGTGGGATATTCCGTCGGCTGATGGAACTCGAGGAATGGGTATGTAATTTCTTGCCATTCCGTACTGCCCTCATGACCACCGCTTCTGCAGACTTTTGTGCTACGCTCACTCGAAGTCCTTCCCGACATACCAGAAGATGAACTCGCGCGTGGCCTGAAAACTGTTGTTGATCTAACCCTGAAGGTGCAATCTAAACGCATTACAGCGGTAGGACCAGACGAAGGGGAGGCTACGGAGCCAAATTTAACCCTGCACACCTTACTACCGTCATATCTTGCGCGCATGATCGCTTATCCTTACGCCCCTGCGCTACTTCGAACTGCCTTCCGGAAGCATGTGAATGATCCCAAGCACCTTGTCCACATTCTGCCGATGCTTTCGCAATGGGCACGCACTTACTTGAAACAGGATGACGTCGTTTTTCTGAAGCCGCAGCCCACCGCTTTGATATTCTATCCCTCGTCACCCGAAGCTAATACCCCTCCGATGCCGTCATTCGAGACTGTCAGTATTTTTCTATGCCATTTTACTGTGGACATGATGTTCATTCTTTAACCGCCCGTAGTTATTACTATTCCTCGAGAACTTCCTCGATTCTTCATTCGTCTCTTTGGTCCAGTACGAGGCTGCGCATTCACATCTCGTCGATATTGCGAACAGTATTCGGTTAACAACTAAGCTGTTTGTAGAGTTGGATACGTTGAAGGGTCCCTTGGAGCCCTTTAGCGAGACCGGAAGCTACCGTATAGACAACCTTCCACAGACTACTGCGAGATACACAGTCCAGCGCATCGTATTGTAATTTGACTGGCTAACTTTGTTTGCATTGCGCGCGTGAAGGCGTGATTATTCAATTTCTCGGCAGCGGGACGCTGTCAACATGCCGTTATAGTATACCACAGATGCCAATTATTAATTCCCAACATTGCATTTCGCGGCTAGCTGTGGGAGCCGTGAACCACTCGCCGGTCTGTGAGACACAGCGAGGTGTACGTACTAAAGACAACATCGATCATGCCCCATCGAGATTGAATCGGCGAATCCTAGACTCAATAGACTGACATTCCGTTGTCAAGGTCGGAGGAATTGGACGGTGCCCTTAGCCATTCGAACAGCGGAGCCAAGAAGCGAATACATGTTGTTATGCAGCAGACACGAAAACCATCAGCCTAGCAACAAACAGGAGAGCAGGAACTGGCCGAGGATGGAGATATCCTTGACCCACGTCTCGATCGGGACGTGCGATGTCGTAGAGGAGCTAGTGCGAAGCTACCCGTTGCCAACTCCGGGAACTAGTCCGCGCCAGATTATACATTCCACGGTGTCCAGATGCCCGCGTACGTCACAAGTGTGAGAATTGCACCAGAAAATGCCAAGGGACTGGAACACCATCTTACCAAACCCACATGTGCATCCAAAACAATACGACGAACAAAGGGGGGCTTGGAATGTACTAATCACTTAGCGACGTGCACATGGACTAGCGAGAGCTTCTTGATGAAGAATTTTAGAAGGAAATGAAGTCCAGCTCTAAGCTTGATGCGAGATCGATCATATCAGACGTGACTCGCGAAGAATGTGAGGCTGTGGATCTAATGATCTAATCAAAATTACTTATGTAATACCTGTTCCGAGATTTAGGTTGTTCCTGCACTAGTGCACCGAGTCCCTTTGATTTGTATCTGGCTTCTTTGTTCCTCACGAATTGCGGCCGGAACTAACCGTGACGTGCCGGTTTTCACAAGAGCTCCTGGTTCAGGAACAAATCATATTTAGCCAAGCGTGTCAACGACTTTACCTTTGATTGATCGGGTTCTAGCTGCTGATAGTGGATACGTTAGAGTGATGCCTGAAACAACATATGGTGTGGGGGAGCCAACATTGTGAGCCATGAGCCGGCCACGTATTAACACTCAGAATGAGAATGAAATTCAGTCACTTCACTGCAATGCAGCTCAGGCGTAACTTACAAAGGGGCCAGAAAAAAGGAAGAAGCCAAAAAATTCTTTTCTTTTCCTTCCCCCCTCTTCCTCTCCCACTGTTTCCCCTCTTTTTTCTTTATTCAATGTTAAAATATTCAAAGGTAAGACGAACCCTGATGAATGAAACATGGATACCACACGCGTCCCAACGCAGACACAGTGCGAGAAGACAACGATGGGAAGTGGCGACGACGGATGAATGGCGCATGTCTCAAATACCATATATTCAAACTATGCGGCTAGGCCTACGGAGACGAAGCTGAAAGCAAAGTACGGACGAGACCCAGAATCACAGTACGACCAACGACGGAACGTCATCCAACAACAAAATCACCTGAAAATTGACAGAATGAGAAGAGATTATCATGGGACTCCACAGCCCAACGACCAAAAGCGACAGCGAGCTGATGTCGCGAGCACTCTGCTGACCCATCCGAGGGAAAAATTGAACACAACCGGAACAGTTGGCATTCGTTCATATGGAAAAGAGAGGCAGGGAAACGCTGACATTCCACGCAACCATCGGCGTGGCCTCCAGAGCAGGCGTTTTCGCCGTCTTCTCAGCAAACCGAGAGGACAGGAACGACAGGAAACGGCCAAAAAGACAATTCGCCATGAGTGAAAGCACGAAAAATGTGGGGCATTGGGGACTGAGGCATCAACAGGAGAGTCACAGGAAGCCTCCGTAGTTCGCAAGCCAATGTCAGCAGCGAGCGGATCCGACAAATGGCCAATGGAGCAAAGAAACTTCACAGAGGCTCCAGAAGTGACAGGAGAAAAATGTCATGGAGCCAACGCCATGATTGGTCCTCGATGCGTTTGGAGCGCGCCTTCAGTGCAGTAACAGAATATGCACGCGATATTGATCGGATCGATGACAGGCTCAGCGATGAGAAATCTGGGATCCCAGAGCTTCCTAACAATCCAGAGGGACCGACGACACCAATGGCAATGATGGGTTACACATTATTAGTGCGGACTTACTATATGATGGTGCGACCTTGTCGGTCGTGCCTCAAGCCGCGTACCAGAACCATCATTCCCTAAGTCCCGTGAGGACGTCGAAATCCCCAGCAAATCTGAAGCGATCGCCACGTTACTCCAGCCATCAGTTATAAGAGGCCGGACCAATGAGGAGAGAGCCAACGCAAGAAGATCTCGCCCCGCCTCCTGGCCATCACTCAATTCGACGTGCAGGCTATTTGGAACTGGAGTTGACAGACAAACCACGAAGCCCCTTACACGTCGGGGTGCGCAGCCCGGTCAAAAACCAAGATCAGGCAGTCCAGGGAGAATGCATTGAGGGCGTTAGGGGTGCGGATACAAGAGCGGAGACAGGCAGAGCAGCCAAAAAGACGCAAACGCGAGAAAGCAAGAGGCATATGGTCTTGCGGCACATGGAAGCGATTCACAGATTGGGCGGTGCAGCGCAAATGATGCATGGGTAGCTTCGAATGACACTCTACTGGCAGGAAGAATGGCGAGGAAACTATTAAGCATGACGGTTGGAAGATGGATTTCTTCCGGAAGACGGAGAAGCAAGCAGCCCGATGCCGCATGAGAAAGTGAGGAGGAATGGGCAGTGGCATGTGTAATGTTGGGAGGCAGTGTAGAGGCAAATAGCTTGTCATCGGAGACACCACAAAATTGACAAAGCCTCGCACAGAACCCTAGGAGCGAAAAGCTTGCGGAATGCGGGCACCACAGGTTCACGGCAGATCGCTCGTGTGTCAATTTTTCATGGTGAACGTCGATGGTTGAGGATGACGTAAGACTCACTGACCTCTCCAAAGAATGAATTGTCAGGTTCGTGTCAAGGTGTCGGCGATCCCTTGCGTGTGTGTCGCAGCCAGTGGAAATCACCGCGTAACTGTAAGTTGTGGTTATTCCCAACACAGTATTGACGCGATTAAGCGCCGCTATACCTATACCATTCTTTCAATTTGACTGATGGGAGTTCATTGTCGGCTTGACCTATACCCGCGCGCTGTCACAGACGAAGCTTTCCGTGACTTTCCCCCCTCACTCATTTCCGAGGTCCTATTTCTCATCCAGCGTTTGTGTCGTAATTGTATTTGATTCTATCCAGGCACGTGCCTGCACAGCATAGTCGAAGCGAACGAATAATCGGTCCCTACATCAAATAGACAAATAGGCGAATAAATTCATCAAAAATAATTCCAGCAGGGTTTGTCACCTGGCTTTCTGTAAGTTGAAGCGAGACCGCATCTTTTCTGGTGTCTCAATGCAGTTTAGCGCTAACCCACAACGCCAACCACACCTTACAGGGAAAATTAGCTGTTTTAGTGCGATATTTGTCCCGGCATCTTCGGTGCTCAGACTCACCAATGTCCGAGACATCCAATTCACGCTATGGCACTCGGATTTTCCCATATGAATGTTATCATCAAACCGCCCCGGAAATTCTCTCTCTGTTGCCACCGTACTGGGGAATCAACAACAAGCCACATGGCCTAGATGAGTTACCGAAAAGTACAGAAGCTTTCGACAGTCTCTATCAGAACGGAGTGTAGACACTTGCCGACACCGCACGGTACTAGTTACCAAAGGTGCACTTTGAAACTTGAGAAATGACACGGTCGAAAAATGACTCCAATTATTGCTGTCAAATTTTGCCAAAAATCAGGAACGTTCAGCCTTTTTTTGAAGGCCGTTGGGAAGCTTGATTTCGGAGACAAAGCTACGCTGTAGGCTCAATATCTTCAAGATGATTCTGCCATATACATTCCGGGGGCTCCTGCGTTCGCCTTGCCCCATATCTTTAACACCTTTGGTGTTCAGCCAAGACGATTGTGTGTCCAATGCCTCATTCTCCAACCAAACCATAGTATGTGTCATGGATTCATATTTCCGCGAGCCAGCGAAGCGGAGACCCCAGTTAGGACGTTCGTGGCTCAAGAACATTCATGACCTCCAAAAAGGGACAAAGGCGTTGGGTTCCCCATGAAAGGGATAATTATTAAACTCATTTTTCTCCATTCAGCCATTCCGAGTTGCCATGCGCTTCCACTATTCTCTGCAATTTCATAAATCGTGATGATAACCATGTGTCGCCTACATTTCCCTGGTATGATCGACTCAATTTTCATTTGAGTACTCATTGATTACTCGCTATCGCATGCATCTGCACAGCAAAATACTAGCCGCGAAGTTGATGACGACTAAACACCGCTGGCTCACAGCCCTTGTGAGGGATGTTGAATACTATTCAATTCAAACCAAAACGGGAAATTTGGTTGGCTGACAGTTGTGCCCGAACTTTGTTGTTACTAGACTTCAAGACTTTAGCCAAACATAAGTCATCCAGTGTCGGGTCTCGCGGCGTCCTAAAACCCCAACCTCACTTTCCTGATCGGGCCCGTTGCGCGCGGAGTCGATCGAGCTTCGCGCAATCGGTGGTGGTCCGCAGTTCAACCAAGTGCGGCCCAACAACTCTTCTCCGAGTGCGAGGCGAATACTGGTTTAGGCAGGATCCTAGCCTCTACTAAAGTCGAATACTAGTTCCTGAGATCGGCGCATCATTGCCACGGTTCCCAAGTCCCGGCACAAGACCAAATGGTAGCACCTCCACCAGCTCTAACATCACAGTTCAGATTGGATTGGATTGGAACCTCAGGTGCACTTTGAAACCTAAGGTGGTTACTTGTTTTCTGTAATGGGGACACACCGCAGTCCTGAGTCACAGTTTGCCCTGGTGATTCCTTCCTCGTCCACTCCTTCCCGATCCGAAAACTTCCCCTTAGTATTGGATCCTTTATCCACGGTCCCGGGAGTCACAACAGTTCCCGCAGGGATGGGCGCTTATAACGGGCATCCATATCCTCCCGGTCCAAAGGAAGGACGGCTTGTTTTGAGGCACAATCATCTCGTTCTCAAGTCAATGATCCCCGCCGTTTATTTCGACCTCTCCGACTCACCTGGCGGCTTCTTGGACGCAAGCACACTTAACTATCCTTCTTCCCGCACGTACACAGTTTAAGGGTTTCGATGTGGTATTCAATGTGCACCTGTTCTAAGAAAACTCTAACATTATGTTGGAAGTATAACCATAATCAAATTAACCCCTTGTTTCATTTCTTTTGTATATTGTTGGTTTGTCGATAAATGCGGCCCGCGACGAATATTCCCTTCAAGCCCTCAAGCACCAATGCCTGCCTCGACCCCGAAGGTTCCTAGAAAACGTCAGGACTTGCTTGAATCAGGGCTTGCGTGCCTGGTGTGCCGCCAGAGGAAAACTGTGAGGCACAACGCCTTCATGATTACACACCCAAAATCTTACCACTCATATTAGAAATGCGACGGCGTAAGGCCGACGTGTGGACGATGTCTTAGACTTGGGAAGCCATGCCAGTATGCGGGAACTCCTAGGGCCAGGGTTAAAAAGCTCGAAGAAACGATACAGAGCTTGGAGAGCGAGATAGCCGCACTCAGAACTAACTCATCTCCTCCTATTCACGACGCGGGGCCCACTGAAACCTATTCCAGCTCACGGATCCCTCGATTGGCCATTTTACCACAGCTTGAGATAGTGCAGGAGCTGTATACGACCAAGGCATTCCATGTCCCCGAGACCATACCCATATTTCCCATATCAACTCTTTTCTCTGACACTTCCTTCGCATCTGCAGAAGAGCAGCCATCCTCTCATCCAGGAGAGGCTTACCCAAAAGTTATTACTCGTGTCACGGTGGAACGTGCTCTGGCGAACTGGGACGTCCGGACAGAAATACCACCCCAACTTAAAGATTATCTGTATGTGTACTCCCGTTCAGGTCGCACTTTCCCTCCGGGTCTGACTGTACTGAATATTAAGTCTTCGTATCTTCCTCGCCCATCGTTTCCAATTCCATTCTGGACCGCTTGTTGCAAGGCTGTTCGAAGGCACACGTTCTTCTACCGATGACAGGGCTCTTCACCCCTCCCTTATGAATTCAATGTACCTTCTTGCTTGCCACGTCGGTGGGGGCTCTATGTCTTCCTATGAATCCTTTTTTGTGGCTCGGACCCGCGCGGATCTGGACGCATCATTGGCTTTCGTTGATCGTCTTGTGGACTTCCTTCTTGCTTCGGCTCTACTTGGAGTCTACTTTACTCGCACTCGTCGATATCCCGAAGCCTACACGACCTTATCCGGTGCCATTCGATTCGCTATCGCTTGTGGACTGCAACCATTGACTGCTGCCCAGCATCAAGGCAGCGCAGGCTTGCTGCCTCTCCCCAGAAATGATCTCGAGATGATTGAACAAAGGCACATCTGGTCCGCATTGAATGTGGCGGATCGCATTCTCACAAGAGAATCAGGATTTCCCAGCTCATTGCCCGAGGATGTGGGTGGCCCAATTCTAAGGGATCGTTATAATCTGACGCCGGTTATTTTCACGCAGGCGCTTGCTGAAATTTATAGATCTGCATGTGGCATCAGCTTTCAGGATCCCACAGATGTCTTGGGTGTCTCCAACTCCGATTGGACCCATCGCCTGGCCTCGCCCAATGCATTTCTCAATCCTGGCATATTCGACGTCAGTAGAGAATTCGATCATGTCTGTCTCAGAGCCAGGATAGAGTTGCTTTATGAAAGCATACGACTCTTCCGTGCGCGCAATAGGGGTATGTTTACACTGAAACGTCTTGTACACTCTGACTCATTATTGGCTAGGAGACGCTGAAATTAACTTCGTGGGGTGCTCGAGCGTTCCATTCTGGCAAACATTCAACTTTCTCGAAACATCTCTCTTCGAATGTCAAAAATTAATGTCATCGTTGGATAGTACATTTGAGCTAGGAGATGGCGACTGCGGTGAACCCTGGTTTGACTGCCCAATTCCTCAAACTCAAAATCTCGACGGAGCGACAATTTTTACCCACAGACCTATACCAGCTCTTTTTTCGGCAAAGGTGATGATGTTTGCGGCGGTGATCAGCTTGCAAAATTCTCTGCTCGAATCCCCTTATGTCGCGGACATATCTGGAGAGGGAATTGTCACCGAGGCACGCCGAAATGCTGTGCAGGCGGCGAAAGGGATGGCCGCTTTGCTCAAGTCGGTAATGTCTCCGTCTGCGACCATGGCGCTCCGGAGACAAGCGGGGGCCGTCTACTCCCCTATGTCCACGGTCTACAGGGATCTCTCGCTCTTGGTGGGTGTCCCCAAAAGACCTTGGCATTTCATTATCTTTACGCTGAGCTTTCCAGCCCCATGTCTTGGACGCCTCTGTCGTGATGGCTCACGAGATCCAAAGGTCCCCATTTCACACACCAACGGAGTCGAGCTCGACAGGCAAATAGGGGACGTTGACATCTTCCGGACTCTGGTGACTGCATTGCGGGACTTAGGGGCATCCGATCCATCAATGTCAATGGGTGAGTCGTGCAACGTCGTCTTTCTGCAGATGTTCATGAACCACCAACAGACAAGGAAGTGCAAACACTCATTGGGATTCTCGCTGATGGCATTCGTGCATTATCGGATTTGTCGTCACCTGTCAGCAAGGAGCAGGCTGAGCCACATGTACAATCCCGCGTAGTATACCCATCGCCTCTATAATCTTTATATCCTATAGTATTTCCGGTTGTTCAGGCAGTGGAGCTGAGAATTGAAGAAGATCGCGGCTGAGCAGGTGCGAAAGTCTTTGGCCGGAAATTACAGAAGAACAGGAGTTGGGACCGGCCATAGCGGAGGTTCTGAGCAAACGTGTTGTAGAACAGGGCCTGAGGCCCAGCTCCGGAACTCTGTTAAAGGGAGGCTGGTCACCTGCCTAGGGAATGGCACACGGGCTTTTTGAACAAACACGTTGGTCAGAGGCGATGCAAACTTCTTCTAGACTGTGAGCCCTCAGTCGTGCATAGTTCTCCGTAATTGTGCGAGGTGTGGTTCCCCTGAACGAGTCTGCGAAATGTGTTGCAGTACACACAAACAATCATAAACAGAACGTTACAACCCCTCCCAGACAACAACTAGGCAGATGACCAGCCTTGGTATGACAACAACATCATGGATATGGATGATAGATGATTCCCTCTTGTATGCACGGTGACGTATAGAGTAGTTACAGTGGTCGTCGATCGATGCATATGACACCGACGTCACTCACGAAGAATTTGAATTTGGGGCTCCGATCCAAATATTCGCGCCGAGTCTGTTTAATTTGTATTGCTTCTGACGCCAAAGGCATGTGTCCCTCGTACAACTTCACCCAAGAGGCGAAACTTATTTTGCCACTGGTAATTTGTTGATCAGGGTGGATACATACGCCAGGTTGAAGCCTGGAATAGCATACTTATTGTGTGTAGGAGCAAACATTATGAGCCATGAGCCGACCATATATTAAATACTTGCGTAATGGGAAATGGATAAAATACAAACTGAGGTTGGAAGATGTCCCCTTGGGCATTATCCTTACTCGGAATGATAGGGCAAAGCGGCCAACAGAAAAACCGTCACATGAATGAAAGTATTAAGGGGGCGGGACGAGAGAGTCACGGCCTCCGGTCACTGGGACGCCAAAGGGACAGGGCGGAAATGGGTTTCGATCTGTTCACAGAGCTAATGTAGTGGTAAGTCCTCAATGCGTTTGAAGGGCGTCTTCGGTGCAGCAACGTAATAGCACAGAATACGTGCACTACCATAGTGATTGGGATCAATGATAGACTCGACGATGAGAACGCGCGAGTCCCAGAACTTCCTAACGATCTAGAGGAGTGATAACTCCAATGAAACGAAAAGCAACATGAGTCTTGTACAAAGTCGCACACAGGCAGGCAAAAAACTCAAACATGGCCCTACCCTACGATAGTGCCGCCTTGTGAGTGGTACCTGGAACCAAGTCAAGCCTGTACCAGCGGTTCAGAACCTTCCTCTTCTTAAAGTTTCATGAGATCTGAAGCGATCACCACGTTAGCCCCTCCTCTACTTAGAAGAAGGCGAATCGACGAGAGGAGAAACAATGCGTAAGGACCTCACCCTGCCTCCCGGCCATCGACGTGCGGACCATTTGGGCGCCAGAGTTAACAGACAAATCACGAAGCTCTTTCCACGTCGGGATGTACAATCCAGCCAAAAGACAGTGATTGGAGAGATCAGACAGTCCAGGGAGAATGCATCGACGGCATTAGGTTGTCGGCATAAGAGCGGAGACAGGCAGAACAGCCAACAAAATGCAAATGCGAGAAAGTAAGACATGGAGGCGATTCACAGATTGAGCGGTTGCGCCACAAACGATGCATGGGTGGCTTTGAATGACGTTCCAACGGCAAAAGATGAGACTCAGCGAGGCAATTGTTGCTGGGAGGTGGATACATTCTGGGGACGGAGAAGCAAGCAGCCCGACGCCCTATGAGGGAGTGGGAGGAATGGGCAGTGGCTTGTGCAACTCTGGGAAGCAGTGCAGAAACGAATGAGAGACACTAAAAAAACGCGATGAAGCCCTACACGGAACTTGGGAACGAAAGCTTGGGGAATATAGATGTCGCAGCCTCACAGCAGATCGCTAAGTCGTGCATAAATTTTCCATAATGAGCATCCTAGATGGTTGACGATGACGCAAGCCTCGCGGACCTCTTCAAAGAATGAACCGTTAGGTTCATATCAAAATGTCGGCGATCCCTTGCGCGTGTCTCGGTTGCAGCTGGTGGAAATACGTAATTCTGGTCGCGATTATTTCCAACACGGCACTGACGCGATCAAGACGCGATTAAGTACCGCCGGTACCATTGTCTCTATTTGACTGATGGATATTCGTTGTCGGCTTCGATACCCGCACACTGTCACGAAAGGTGAAGCTTTGAGTGCCTGTTTTTTCCTTCACTTCTTCATTTCCGAGGGCTGAGCAACTTGTCGTTGTATTTCATCCATACGGCACGTGCTAGCACAGCATGACTTAAACGGATTTGACGGTCATTATATTCCCGAAGGGAAAGAAATGGTTGCTACCATGGCTTTGCGTAAGATACAGTAAGACCGCACCTTTGCGGTGTTTCAATGCAATTTAGCGCTAATCTGCCCTACAAAATCAGGTGTAATATTGGATATGGCATGATTCTGTGCGAATTGACCTTCCAACCGCCCCGGCATTTTCTCTGTTGTCACCGTACTACCCTATCGACAACCTCCACCAATACGGAGTACAGACACTCGCCGACACCGCACCGCACTAATGCTTTGAAAAATGCCACGGGGGAAAACGACCCCAATTGTTGCTGTCAAAATCCGACTCTTTCGGCATCCCCAAGGCTACCGGGAAGCTTGGTTTTGGAGACAAAGTTATGTCGTAGGCTCTAAGCTTGGCATATTCCAAAAGTGACGGCTTCCACACTCGCCTTGACCCATATCTTCGGCGCGGACGATAGCAGAACAGAGAAGGGGAACAAAGGGAACGATTTCGTTGTGGAGATCTCAGCATAGGGTGTTCGTGGCTCAAGGACATTCATGATTACGAAAGGGGACAAAAACGTTGGGTTCGCCGTGAAACGACTAATTATTGGACTCATTTTTTCTCCTTCCAAGTTGTCTTACGCCTCAGTAATTTCATGGATCATGGTGTTTTCTCCTATGAGTACTCATTGATTACTCTAACATTATCGCATGCACCTGCACAGCAAAATACTAGCCACGTAGTTGATGACACCAACACCGCCGGCTCACAGCCTTTGAGAGTCTATTTGATTCAAACCAAAAAAAGGAAAATTGGTTTGCTGACAGTTGTGGCGAACTCAACTTCAAGACTTTGGCCAGACAGGTGTCGGGCTTCTTCGCGGTGTCCTACATCTCCAACCTAGTTTTCCTAATCGGCCCGACCCACGCGGAGTCGATCGAACTTCGCGCGATCGGTGGAAGTCCGCAGTTCAACCAAGGTGCGGCCCAAACAGCTCTTCCGAGTGTTAGGCGAATCAAAATACTGGTTCCTGGGATCGGCGCGCATCTCGGCCTTCCAAATTCCGGGCACAGACTAAATGGTAGCATCTCTAAGAGGAACTGTGATTGGTAGACAAGTTCTAACTCCACAGATTGGAGGCACTCTAAAACGCAAGGCTCTACTTGTTTTTGTAATGGGGACGTGCTGCCTCAAGTCACAGTTTACGATGGTGATGCCTTCTTTGCCACTCCTTCTTGACCCGAAAACTTCCCCTCAGCATTGGATTCTCTAGCCGTAGTAGCGGGAGTCATAATAGGTCCTGCAGGGATAGTGGCATCAATCTCCTCTCGGTCTAATAGAAGGGCGGTCATTTTGGAGACACAATCATCTCGTTCCCAAAGTTGATGATCCCGCCCTTTTATTTTGACCCCTCCGACTCGTCTGGCCGCTCCTTGCTCGCGAGCACACCTAACTGCCCTTCCCGCACGTACAGGGTTTAAGGATATTTCATTCTAAGTTGGCATTAAGCCTCCAACATCCGAGCCATGTTTACGGTATGGATATAATCACAATGACTGCTCTTCCATTTCCCATGGTAATGTTTTTATATTGTTCGTTTTGTCGATAAATATAGCCCGCGACGAATATCTCCTCCAAGCCCCAAGCCTCAAGCACCAATGACTGCCTCGCCCCCGAAGATCCCTAGAACACGTCAGGACTTGCTCGAATCAGGGCTCGCATGCTTAGTGTGTCGCCAGAAGAAAAACTGTGAGGCACGAGGTCTTCTTGATTGCACACCCAACTCTGACCACACACTTTATAACACTAGAAATGCGATGGCGTAAGGACCGACGTGTGGACGATGCCTTAGACTGGGAGGCCATGCGAGTATGCGGGAACTCCGAAGTCCAGGGTTAAAAGGCTAGAAGAAAAGATACAAAACTTGGAGAGCGAGATAGCTGCACTCAGATCTAACCCAGCCCCACCTATTCACGATGCGGGGGGCACTGAAGTCTATGAAAACTCACGGATCCCTCGGCTGGCCATTTTGTCTCAGCTTGAGATGGTGCAGGAGCTCTATAACACCAAGGCATTCCACGTCCCCGAGATCATACCCATATTCCCTATATCAGGTCTTTTCTCCAATGTTACCTTTGCATCCGCAGAAGAGCTGCCATTTTCTCACCCAGGAGAGGCTTACCCAAAAGTTATTGCTCGCGTCGCGGTAGAACGCGCTCTAGCAAACTGGGACATTCGGACAGAAATGCCACACCAACTCAAAGATTATCTGTATGTATGCATCGTTTAGGTCGCACTTCCCTTCTGGGTCTGACTGCATTAAATATCAAGTCTTCGCATCTTCCTGGCCCATCGTTTCCAATTCCATTCTGGGCCGCTTGTTGCAAGGTTGCTCGAAGGCACACGTCCTTCTACCGACGATAGGGCCCTTCACCCCTCTTACGAATTCAATGTACCTTCTTGCTTGCCATGTTGGTGGGGGCTCTA